ATTTTTCGACTAATGTGATGTGGCCGAGCAAAAAGAAGGTTTTTTATGTTTTAAAAAATGTACTAATTATATTTCGCGAGCAAAAAAGGTAAGTTTTATTAATGAAATAAACATTGAAGTATTTAATGTGTTTATTACTTATTGAATGGGGTAGACAAGACATACAAGCTTAAGGAATCTTTTTTCCACTACTAAAATTATGTGAAAATTTAGATGTTCATAGTAGCTTACATTGTTTTTTCTTTTTGGTCTATTTTTCTTTACAAGTATGAGACTAGAACCACATTTTTACATTAAATATTTTGTGCTATTTTGTTAAAACACATATAATCATTTTTATGCATACTTTAATTTTCATTATTATTAGTTTTTGATGAAGAAAATTTCAAATGTGTTTTTCATAAATTGCTTTTGAAATAGAAATAGATTTGTGAATAAGATTTATGTAATATTAAATGTACTAGTCTTGGGAGTATAAAAAGTGAATTATTTATTAGAAAAAAATTACATTAAGTTGAAACCTCATATAGTGGTTATTTTCTTAAATGACCACCTCTGATAATGGCACATTTGTCAGGACAATAATTAAATAACAGGACTTAAAAATCATTCATAGTTTTGTCAGGCTATAGGAAACTCGCATTATCTCGAATTGTGGAGTTGATTGTTTTAGGAACGTTTTGCTGTATAATCAATTGACTTCGGTGTAGTAATTTTTACGTGGGTATGAATTTTGCAGAAGTAATTGAAAGTTTTTTTTACGAGACAATTTAAAACCAAAGCTTTTCGGATCATGAGTCTTATAAGGGCACTGTTATAGCATTGCTTTCAAATATAGTTAGAGTAATATTTAAACATTATTTTTCGGAATCACTTCCACAGGGAATCCGGTTTTTTCTCTGCGGATGAAAACCCATATAAATAAATCTTCTGTACAGCCTTATACAAATGCAGTTAAAATTACTGTCATTACAATTAAGCGAATATAGCCACATTTGTTTACAAAAAGTTATTATTGCTAAATACTGCACTGCACTATATCAATTTCATTTAGCATTGTAATTTCAGAAAATGCTCTGCATGAGGTATTTTTATATTATATAATCTACTGTCAAACACAATAGCTACCTTTTCAGTACTTACTTTAAATTTTACTATTGAGAATTTTTTATGGTTCAAAATAATATTTCTATACATTATTTCAAGTATTCTTTCTACAATAGAAATCTAAATAACTCGCACCGAAAACACTGACTCAAATTTATTCCAATAATGCATCGCTTTAATTAAATTTATGTTCCCTTGAGATGATATATGAAAAACCTTCTGTAATAATAAATTATTAATATATATAGGTAAATAGTATTTTTATATATATTTTTTCGGGTAAAGTGCAGAATCGCCCACTTATTTATTTGGCACTTTGTACAAAAGTAAAAGGAATTGGATTTTTGTCAATTTTCTTTTGACTTTTAAAGTGAAAAATAGGTTGATGTGTACATGAATAAAGTCAAAGAAGTGCACAATGGCATTTTTGTGCAATTCTGAGATGTTTTTTTAAGTGAAAATAGGTCGATGTGTACATGGATACCGAGTATGTGCAATTCTTAAAAACACGCCAAGCAGTCGGCGATTCTACACTTTCCCCATTTTTCTATAGGAATTTAGTTTCATTAAATTAGTTATTTAGTATAATTATGTGTATATGAGTATATTCATACTTATTTACATAGATGGAATTTTTACATTACGAAAGTTTATCTTTTTTACATCAAGAACTACATATACTATAAATATCCATTATGTTATAGATTTTATTTATATAAAATCTGTGGAAGATTATATAGCACTAAAAGTGAGATACGGAATAAAACATTATACGCTATGAGATATTTTCTTAATTCCCGAACTGTGCATTGAGAATTGGTATTTGTTGAAACTTGTAAATTTTTTTAAATTCATTTTGTTACAATATAATTTATTGTATTTTGGGTACTATTAAGTTTATTATATGTTATCTTCATGTTTTCATTTATCTTTTGAGAGATACAGGTAACATTCAAAGTATTGTAATAAGGGGTCGACACAGTGTTTTTTGTATATTATTTTTCTTCACTACATTATATTCTTGGATTCATCCTTTCTTCCACGCAAATCATCTATGTGTATGCATGTCATAATAAGCTGCAGGGTGTTACTATCATTGGTAAGTAAGCTTTAAGGGGATAGCAAGTATGCTAAATTTGAACTCTATGTTAAGTTTCTAATTTGCAAGTCCCGTATTCTTTTTGCTTGCTTGTTAATAATGTTTCTCTTCATGAAAATTTGGGTTTCTTCTAGTTTTGTTTTTTAATTTGGTTTAGTGCATTGTAGGTAACTTAAAATTTAAGCAGATGCTAGAAAGTACCATCCTTTGGCAATACATTTCTCATTAGGTATCAAATTGTTAAACAAGCTGATGGGATTAAATACAATTGTTTAATTTCCCAATTAAAGAACTGAAATACAAATATATGCAGTGAGAGGTACAGTACTATATATATATTTATAATGAAATCAATAATTATATATACAGTCAAAGTAATGATTCGCAACCATCAAATGAAATGATATTATATATATATGTAATAGATTCTGTAGTCGAATACAAGCAGCGGAATCCGTAATGAACAGCAAGAATTTTGATGGCTTAGAGATGTTGAAACTCCTGTCCACAATGAATAAGAAATTTGGCAGTCGAGGTAGATTTAATTCAACTTTTCTTTCAGCAAATATGTTGCAGCCACAAACAAGTTGGCACATTATTTATGCCTATTCCCAAAATTAACATTTTTGATAAATGTGTAGTAAGAAACAAGGAGCAGACAGACTGCAATCCAGCTAATACAAAGCGTAAAAAGCAAATGCGTTACGTTAAGGGTGAAATCTTAATTCAGACCGAGTTAATTTTGGTTCTCGATGCATTTTTACTCGTCTTTGATAGTTAATACTGCTGTAAAATTACTATTGGCTGTTTGAGTTTTAGTTTCTTTTATAACATCAAATTATGTAAGAGTCATATGACATGAATTAATCTCCAAATGATGCAGTGCAGAAAGATTACTGTTTTTAGAATAGAGAAGGAAAATTAATTTTATGCTGCTAATTTAATCTTTTGCATATTCCTTATTTTTCTTACATATATATATGTACATATATCATTCGATGGTTGTGAATCATGACTTTGGTTATTATCTTTCTATTCATTTTATTTTCAGAATTATATAAAGGTAGTTTAAAATTTTGTAAAGAGAATTTATACAAATTTTTGTAATATGTTTATAGATATTGACGTGCATTAAGAAGGACGGGCTCGTAGGCTTCTAGATATTTTAAAATTTTTATTTATTCGCATTGAGTTTTATTTAAAATTACTTTACATGCTTTCTCCGCAATTTAGTTCTGTACATTTCATCAGTGCTAATTATGTACTTCTGCTGGTGTATGTTTTTTATGGAAATTTGATTTACAGTTCTATTTTTGTGTATTGTTTTTTTATAGGGATTCTGTATATGGATACCCGTTCTATGTACGATTCTATGTATGGATACTCCACTATGGTATAATTGCTATTGGTTTCTGTTTATGGGTTTTTTTGCCTACTGTTTTGTGCAGCGATTTTTCCAAGAGGTACCTTTATTGGATCTGTGGATTTTTGTGTAGTGGTTTTTACAGGATTTGGCGTATATGGGTGCCTGTATAGGTGTACATGCTTTTGTTTACTGGTTTTTACAAGGCATAGACCTACGGAATATCCATTTTTTTAATGGAAATTTGGCCAATGGATATGCATATAAAGTTTTTGATTTTTCTGCTATGGGTTTTTACTGGGATTTTTGTTTATAGTGCCTACAGTTCTACAGAGATTTGGCCTACTCGTAACCGTACAGTCATACGGGTTTCCGTTTACAGGTTTTTTACGGGTATTTCGCCTACAGGTACCTATACAGCCATGCAGGTTTCTTTCTATGGGTTTTTACGGGTATTCGGCCTATGGGTACCCGTACAAACGAACAGGTTTCTTTTTATGGGTTTTTACGGGTATTTGGCCTACGGGTACTCGTACAACCGTACGGGTTTCTTTCTATGGGTTTTTTACGGGTATTTGGCCTACGTATAGGTATTGGTTCCTTTCAATGGGTGTACGGGAATTCGGTCACGGGTACCGTACGGGTTTCTTTCTATGGGTTTTTACGGGGATTTGGCCTATGGGTACCCGTACAGTTGTACGGGTTTCTGTCTGTGGGTTTTTACGGGGATTTGGCCTACGGGTACCCACAGAGCTGTACGGGTACCCGTAGGCCAATTCCCCGTAAAAAACTTTTATGGGTTTCTACTGGGCATTTTTAGCAGGGGAGCATATCTTTAGAATTTCCGTTCAAATTTCAAATTTGGTCTTCCACATGCTCATATTCGTTGGAGGATTACGTTATTCAAAATTCGATGACTCTATGTACCGTTGTTTTATCACAATACGAGAAATATACATACATTTATGTAGATTTTTCATTATTTAATTTCTTCAAATATAATGCAGGACTCTAACATTTTGTGGCAACAGTTTGAAAAGTGAACCGACATTTATGAGTCCGACGCAAAATGCCAAAACGAAACTAATAGTCCTTCGGGATTCAAATCCCTTTGGACTTAAAAAAAAAAAAAAAAAAAAAAAAAAAAAAAACTTATAAATACATATTGTGCTTAAGACGACTGCTGGGGGCAGTGCAAACAAATGCTGGACGAAGACGATAGTGCATGATGTTAAGAAGGGTGCATTGCGGGTGTGAAGAACAATTTCAGTTACATATTTACAGAGTTATGGATAGGTGGTTACAAACACTAAAAGTAATAAGAAATAAAATACAAGAAAGTAAAACAATACAAAGTCTTGATCTGTCCCTGGTTATGGAACAAAATTTATGTGAATGAAAATTAATGCAAAAAAAAAATATATATATATATTAAACAGAAAATTCACTGTTTCTTACCTGGCAAGAGTCATGACCTCCTTCAGCATGTCCAGCACAAACCATTGTAGGAGCCACGTTAAAAAATCTGTGCCACTCTCTGCACTTTTCCAGTGACACAACAGGAACTGCAGCCTGTTTCAGTTCTAGTTCAGAACCTGTACCTATTTAAATTACATTTCAGATATAACTGAAGAATGAAATAAATTTTTAACTTGAGAATAATGGTTATTGATGATAGACTCTTATGTTGTCCGCCTTCTCTATTGTGAAGCAGTTTTACAAATTATTGATTCGGTACTTCTCAAGTATAAGGGCCACCTAAATAATTTTTTTAAACTGTATGCAAAATTTAATATGTGGATATAAACGCGAAGAAATATGTTATCAACTGGTTAGTTCTAAAACGTCATTTAGCTATAATTTTCTTTGACTGATATTCTAGGACAATATGTCTAACCTGTGGTAATATAACTCTTGAGGTTAAGCCGTGACAGTTTAGAAATCGCTAGAACTTAATAATAAAATATGAGAAATTGAAAAACTGCCTGTATATAAACTTTTTAGTTAAATTTTTATTTTTAATTACTTTATAAAAATAAAAATAAACAATCTTTATAATAATAAGCATTGGTTGTATGTTAAAAAACGACTTGAGATTCTAACTCAGGGATGGGCAAACTACTGCCCGCGGTCCAACTCCGGCGCAGCGGAAAGTTCTATCCGGCCCGCGGATAGAATTTTAATTTTCCGGCCCGAGGCAAATTAAAAGAAATATATATTTATATATTATAAATGCGTCTCCTTTTCTACTTTGTTTAAATATTTTTTTTTTTTTTTTTCCTTCCTCTTTTTCAAAGGACTGATGATCTTTTTACTTTCTCTATTTTTGTTCTACAAAGCATAAATTGACGGAAGTAGCAAACACAGACAGCTTTCAATCGATAAAGTGTTTAAAGTTATTTATTAGTTATAGCTGTAGCTTGGCGACAACAAGCGTTATCTCTTTCTAGGGAAGCAGACATACGCGAATCTAATATAGGTGAATTAGAATTCGCATGTGGCAGACTGTGCGTTTTATTTTAAGCTCCAGCGAGCGGCTTTTTCTTTTGGCGCGAGTTCTAATATTACTGATTGCGGATGGAAAAATTGCGGACATATAGCATCATTGTGAATAGTGGTGAAATTATTAAAAGTATAGCGTTGCTAGTGCTTGTTTTGGGTTTATTTCAACCCCAAAATGGCTACTAAAAAACGAATGTGTCTCAGCTGCAATGAAGCTGTAGTAGTCTTCAAAGAATGCAACCTTTCCCGTCATTTCACATCTCAAGCATTAGAATTCTAATTACGAAGCAATGTCCGAATATGAAAGAAAACAAAATGCAGAAAATCTTTGTAAAAAATTGTCAGACCGACAAAATTTTTTCGAGAAAGTAAACAGTATATCCAGATTTCAAGATTTCAGTGCCATTCAAGCAGAATTGGATATTTTTACCATGCCTTTCAACGTTAATTATGAAGCAGTGAGGTCAGATTTGCAGCTTGAATTCATTGAGTTACAATCTAACAATCTCAAGCAGTTGTTTCTAAATATGCCGAAGTTAGAGTTTTGCAAATCTTTATCGAAAGTAAGTTTCCCAAATTTAATATCTCACGCCCAGAAAATAGTGCTATGTTTGCTTCATCTTATACGTGTGAACAAGAGTTTTCAACTATGAACTTTAGAAAGAATTATTCCAGAAGTAGATTGAAAATGAGTATTTAGCCTTGTTACTTAGAATCAGTACATCTCACTTCGAACTATTTTCACTCAATATAAGGAACTTTTAAAAATGTAATCGCAATTTCATTCATCTCATTAACATATTTAAATTGTAATACTTGTATATTGTTTTTAAAATTTTAGAAAAATTTATCTTGGCCCGCCAACCATCCCCCCCTCCGATTTTTGTCCCGCGACCGAAAAAGTTTGTCCATCGCTGTTCTAACTTAATAAAAGAACTCCAATTGTAAATTAACTGTGTAAGTGTAGACAAGCGGTGCATTTCTCTAACTACTCAATCAAATGTTTACGGCATATTTTGCTTTTAGCGATACATTTAATTTAAGAATATAAAATTTCGTGTTTCTATACACACATTTCATTTTAATCCCATTGTTATATACTATTAGTTTCGGCTGGGCTATGCGCAGAGTTAAGAGGCTTCAGTTAAGGAGATGGGGTTGTTTTTTTTTCGAAATCTCAGGTAGACAGTGATTTTCCTCTCATTTTGGTTCAAAGTAAATTGGTTCAAAATTTTTCCAAACTGGAATAAAATTTTAGAGGCCAAGTAACGCTTTTAATAAGAACTAGTACTTGCTTTGTTATCGGTCATGTCTTTTTTCGGAAATGAGCTTTCAAAAAATCCTCATCCACTTTGCCCGATTTCTTCACCATTTTCGAAATATTCTAAAAAAGGTTCTGCTCTGCTCTGGAAAGTTCTACACTTTTCGAAAGAGTAAATGAACGCGGCACCATATAACGGCTTTAGTAAGACCTGCGGGAAAGTAGTAAGCACCTTTAGTAAGCGGGAAAGCAACATCAGCGACGTGATCCTAAGATGAGTGAAATGATTTCAAAATTGAAACTGTATAAAAATGTTAAAATTTATTTTTCGTAAAAAAGCAATTATAAATCGAAACTGTGTACAAATACTGATATTTAGTTTTGTAAAAAAACACAATTATAAATTCTTTGTGTAATATTTATAAGATCCATTGATAGCGGGAACGCAACAACGGAAACCTGAGTGGGTGAAGTGAGCGCTATGCTCTATACTGGTAGCAACACATGTGACAGTAAGATACTAATAGCAATAAATTTCCTTTAAATCACTAAGTTTGTTTATTTAAATTCGAAGACAAATAAAGTGCGAGGGACAAATAGACTGCTTTTATACCGCTGAGTTTTCTGATTAAACTTGAAGCATAAACGTTTTGCATAGTGGCAACACAAAGCTTTGCCGATAACCAATACACATGTTCTTACATCATTTATTATAAATATATTTGTTCGTTATTATATATACGTTTATCTATTAATACAATGGATTGACGTTTCCATGCACGTTTTCAAAGGTTTCGCAAAGCTTACCAAAACAAAAAAAAAAAAAAAAAAAAAAAAAAATGAAACAGAAGGCTCGAGTATACTACTTCAATTACAAATAATCCAGATTCGAAAGAAGCGTGTTCATTTTATTACTGAAATTATCGAGAAAAATCTGAATTATTAACCATGCGCATTTCTTCAATTGGGACGATTTAAAATTCAAGTCATTTTAATGCTTTTTTTTTTTTTTTTTTTTCGAACAGTAATTACATCTTTTAAATACAAAAAAAAAGTTCCTCCAATTCGAACTGAAATAATATCTGTTAAATTAAATTAGTAATAACTTCAATAAGCCGCTTGGATTTAAACTGATAGATTTTCGTCGAATTTCTTAATTTTAAGGAGCTTTAAGTTTTGCTTATGTTATTATTTAAATACACACACACACACACACACACACATATATAGATATATATATATATATATATATATATAAATAATAACATAAGCAAAAATTTAACTATAGTACTACTATAATAAACACAGTGGGAGATTCTGATTTCTTACCATATGTTTCTCCCCATCCAGTAACATAGCACATAGTTCCGGGGGATAAGGTATAGTTGACGGATGGCAAGCACACGGGAGATATGTAATCCGTCTCTGTAACAGGGGCATTGAGCTTCACCAGAGCGATGTCATGCTGTTTTCTAATCAGCCACGGCGTGGAAGGCTGCAAAATAAAAATTGAAGTTGAAGTTTTCAAAACTGTTAATAAATTACATTATTAACTGTAAATAAATGCATCGTTATACTAGAGCTTGCATATAATTCCAACTGTTCTTCGACAGAAGTTGCAAAATATTGATGTTAAAAAGTCTTAGGATTGAAATTTACGGGAGACTCATATGACCTAGCAAGTGATATCATTACACGAGAGGTAAGTTCTTCGGATTATTTTCCAAACTGCAAGTAGCCACTTTCCAAAATATTGCCTTTCAAACGTAACTTTAGAGCTTTAATTTAAATTTTATCTTTTCAAATTATAACTTGACGAATGCTCAACAAACGAGCACTTTAAAAATATAAACGCAATTTTTAATAATTTAAATATTTGTCTCATTTTTAAGTAATATAGTATCTAACTGATATAATTTCAAATATACTGGATATTATTAATTCAGGAAAAATCACAAAAATGACGACTACTCAAATCGTAACATGCAGACTTTAATGAAAACTGAACCACAATATACAGTACATAATAAAGTATAAAATAACATTAAAAGAAATTACCAGACAATTATGGGTTATAGAAGTTAGCGTATGTATAAAATGAGCAAATCGGATGTGTCAGTTTGATGTAGGAAAATTAACTTCAATATGGAGTATGATTTCCCTAGAACCAATACTGCATATATAGCGATGTGTGATACTGTCAGTTATGCGGTCTATCAGTTCCGTAGGAAATAAGAACCATTACTCTTGCAAAGCAGTTGCAAACGTGACAATGGTCTGAAGAGGAGGATTGACAGTAGCTATACGTCTTTCCCAAAGCATCTCAAACATGCTCAATAGGATTCACGTCCGGTGATTTAGCAGTCTATGTGCTGAATTGTTTGCTATCGAAGATTGTTATCAACGATGCGATCTCTGTGAATCAAAGTAGCGTTTCTATTTCTAGGGTTATCGTCTTGTAGCAGGAAATCATCCCCTATTGCTATGGCATCAGGGCACACAAAAGCATCAAAGATGTCATCTCTACAGGCCTGAGCATTCACGGTTCCACTTGAAAATCATGGAGGTCTGTGCGTACCCCAACGAGATAACACTCCAACCACAGACACTGCCTCCTCCGTATGTATTTCTTTCACCGGGTGTTTGATGGATGATATCAGGATCCAGATTCTCTCCAAATCAAGTAACGCCTACTGTCGCTTTGGAGACTAAACTTAAACTCGCCTGTAAAGAGAACAGCCTTTCATTGATCAGCCGACCAGGGGACATGTTGATGTGCCCACCTCAAACGTTCCCTTTTATGACGTGACGTGAAGGTAAGCAAATAACTTGTCGCCTCGCGTACAGACCTCCTTCGTGAATCCTTCTACGCACGGTTACGCAGAAGCCAACCTTCCAATGGCTGCAGCAACGGAGGATCTGAGCTGAATCGGAGTTGCGTTTCTATTCCTTCGCATGCATAGCAACTATTTAACTCTCCAGCGCTCGTCGTAGCGATTCGGCGTTCTTGGCTGAACTTTGCTCATGTCTTTGCTTATGTATTAGGTAAAGGTTTCAATTTCGTTACTAATGTACTCAAAGCTTTGAATTAACAAAATTATATAAACAAATATATAGAAATTGCCATAAATCTCTTAGATTCCATCAATTGCGGAATAGCGTAGAAAACATTATTATTCCAGGAAAATATTTTTAATTTTTTTTATTATTTGATGAAAATGACATGGTCAAATGGACAGAATTCATGAATTCGAAACCGAGAGAGCTATGAATAGTTTAAAAGAATGGGGCTAATGCTTTGGCAATGGAACATCCACATCATGTTTTTACGCAGTCTGATCAGTTTTACGGTATTCCTTCAAATGCTGAAAGCTCTGATAATGTAATAAACACAGTGCCAGTTATATATGCTTTATAGTCAGATAAAAAAGAAGAAATATGCAGGAGTTTCTTTTTTTTTTTTTTTTATTAATTTTTAATTAAGTGATAAAATAAGATCATGGTGACCAAAATCACTTAGAATCGATTTGAATTATCTCTTAATCATGCAGTTAAGAAAAAGCAGTGGACAATGGATGGTGAAATTTCCAAAATAAAGAAACAAAAATTTTCATAATTATATGATCGAGCAATGATGAGAGAATAAATTATTGGTGATATAAGAAACTGTTATTGTGAACGCCGTAGTTTTAGACAGTTGGAATAGTAAAATATATAAAATCTTCTGGAAAATTCACCCCACTAATTTGAATTTATTCTGCGTTTGTAAGATGACGCAGCATATTACGATTTTCTCCGTAGCAAAGTGGAAATAAATTTCCTCATTGAGAAGAGATTAAATAAATACTGAGCCACAGACAAAAGAATTTTAAAAAGTAAAATATTTCAGAAATAGAAAAATTCCTTTGAAAAATCTTTAGAAGTATTAAGCTATATAAAAAATTTTAGAAACAATTTAGTTATAAAAGTTTAGGAAATGAATAGCCACTAAAAATCTATTTTTAAATAAGTATTGAAATATTTTTAATTATTAAAATGACAGAGTAGTTAGTATTTCATTTTCTTTATACTCACATACAATGCCCAAGGCTCACATCAAGGGCAGGCGCAATCCTGCGCTCTTAGTCATGATAAAATTCGTAGACTTGGCTGTGATGTTTTTGTCAGACAAGTGAGATAAGTCACACTAACAACTTTTTAAATAATTTTCCCAATTTACTTTCTAAAACAATAAAGAAACTGCAATGCATTCTGTTGGACTAAGGAAACTGATGCTGAATTAAATCTGAATCTGTAGAATACGCTGATGTATAGAATTATCAAAATAATGTTTGTTTAGTGGTTTAAACTTATTTATCTGATAATCGTTTTGCCATATTCGTTTCTTACCATATAATATAATCTCAGTTATTGGAGGAAATATGATAGATGCTATCTTAAAGAAAATAAGAAATTGCAATCATTTCGGGAGATAAAACAATTATTACAAAAACTGCGACAATTTATTTATATGCATCATTTTAAGTCTGTTATCGCCACTATTTGAGTTTAATGCTATTAAAATGTGTTTTCCAGCGAAGATGAAAAAGTGTGGTTCTACATATCGTTTAATATTGTTGTGTCATAAAAGAAATTAATTAATTTTGAAAGAGATGAAATTAAACAAATTTATTTCATAGTTCCGAAATTATAAAAAAATACACAGCTGGCCATTAAAATTGCAACACCAGGAAGGAATGATCTGACGAATGTCAAAATCAAAGAAAGGAAGAAGTTGGGATATGCAACTGATTAGTATTTCAGCGCATTTAGACGACGCAGGAGGAAGAAACGACATCTGAAGCACTGCATAAAAGAAAAGTTGCATGCACATCTCTAAAGTTGTGTAGCTGTTTTTCTCATTCGGAAAGTGCTTTTTAAGGTTGGAGTCTGTTCAGAATATCGTGTTATGCCTCGAATAAGAAGAGGAAATGCTTACAAGCAAGTTTCGGAATTCGATAGATGTAAGATAGTTGCCTGTTGAGAGTGTAGATTATCGTTCCGTGATATCACCCGTCACACTGGTCGACATCCAACCACTGTCATGCGAATATGGAATCAGTGGATTGCTGAGAGTCATACTGAACGGCATGCAGGATCTCAACGCCCTACCATGACTAACACCAGAGAGGACAGACATATTGTAAGGTCAGCCCTGTAAAACTGTACGACCACATCACGAACCATTAGTCAGGAAATGGCAATGTTTGCAGCACGCCCAGTATCAGCTCGTAAAGAACGTCGACGTTGCAGCAGCGTGGACTATCAGCACGGTGACCATTACTTCGGCTTCCCTTGACAATGCAGCGTAGAGAGAGACGGCGAGTGGTTGTGCTGTATCTTTGAGGCCCCCCAAACACCATGTTCCAAAAAGATAATGCAAGACCACATGCTGCACGTCGTGTTCTGACCTTCCTCGATACACGGGGTATTCGAATGCTGCACTGGCCTGCACGGTCTCCAGATCTGTTACCCACTGAAAACATCTGGTCATGGGTTGCTGAGAGACTGGCCCCCACCACTCTCCAGCTAATACGGGTTGATGAAGCGTGGCTTAGACTTGAAGCAGCATGGAATGAGTTGCTCATTTGTGTCATCCAAGCCCAGTTTGACTCCATGCCTAATGGGATAAGGGCCGTTTTAGCTATCAAAGGTGGCAGCTGTTTCTATTAATTTCGCACCCTTGTAAGCCCTCGAAATACTTACAAATTTAATCATTTTGTCTTCATGCTATACTGTTTATATGCAATAAATATCTTTTTTGTATTTGCTTTCCTTCATGGTGTTACAATTTTAATGGCCAGCAATGTATTATTAATAGCTAAGATTTTTGAGATATAAAAACTGCCTTGTAGCTTAAATTAAAAATATGTAAAATGAGATATAAAGGCTTGTATTAAAATAATACAGAATAAAACTAAAATCAAAATATCTCTACGATGTGGTTTCCGTCTATAATATCCCAACAAGATAAGCCACGATAGAAAATGTGTTATATTGTTGAAAGCACTGACTTCTCTTTCTTTTGTTTATAAAAAGAGCGCAAAAAGACACATTATGTTATAAATGCAATGAAGGGATATATTCTGATCGGGCTGTATTGGGAATAAAGTTACTCAACCTACCCCTCAAAGGCTCAGATGGGAACAAAACTGTTAAGCCTGAATTGGAAGGCTCAGGAGCGAAGCACATGTATACAGGCGCCTAGACTAAAAGCCTCATCCTAAATGTAGCTCATTGCAAATTAGCATGACGTTCCTAGCATAACATGATGAAGCAGGCAGAAAATTCCAAAAATATGGTATTCTCACAAGATGTTGCGATGATGAGCCATTCGTATACAAACTCTGCTGAATTGGAAATGAATTGTCACTTTAGCACTACTAGCAAAGAAGGTCTCCAAACTTTTGAATTTTCATTCCAGCTTTGAACCAATTCCCAAATTTAACTTTTGAATTTCTGAGAAAATTATTTATGATCATAAACTCACCTAGAAATGCACAATATTAAAAAAAGTCAGCTGCTGATATGCTATTGGCAGAAAGCTAAACAATTGTAAAAAATAACGAGATTTGGTTTGAAAATTTGGAAAATATAAAATAATGAATGAAGAGATAAAAAGCGAAAGTAAGCATGTTTTAGTTTCCAATACATACGTATTTAAAATAAAATGTTTGATAGAGCCGATGGAAGGTTAATTCTTGAAAAATCAGAATGCAAGAAATCCTGTAAAACATTGTACTGTGGAAAATTGAGCTATGTTTTAGTCATTTTAGCGCGATAAAAACGCTACTGCTTTACGTAATAATAAATGTCTGATTACGAATGTCTGATTACATACCACAGCTGAGTGCAGTAAAATGTCATCAAAGTGGTAAGCTGTCTCACAGCAATTACAACTAGCGAACTCATTAGTTCGATAAGTTCGTATCAACTGCCAGATGGCTCATAGATTGGAAAGAGAGGAACCTAGCACTAGAGACTGAAGGAATGACTTATTGTGTTATTAATATGGTATATGAATTCAAAAGAGCAGAAAACCTAGATGTTTGAAAAGAGTCAATAATTTACCTCTAATTTAACATAGCAACAAGAAATCGTACATGACAAGCAGTATTTTCAATGATTTTCTTTTGAAGTGAGACAATGAGCTGAAAATGGAGGAGAAAAAGCTTTACTAATTAGCTATCTCTGCACCCCATACATCTCTGATCTCTTTCTGAAAAACATAAGTGTCTTTTCCTGCAAATACAACTTCGTACACTTAGCTTTTAAATCAAAGTATTATTAATAGCTTGCAAATATCATCAGAGGAAAGATGTTCAGGAAATGTTAAACAAAACTGAATTTTGTTAAAATTCAAGCATTTCGAATTAGATAAGTAAATCGATGTCTGTGCTAAAGACCATGCATAATATAGTCAATTCTTGAAGCTAATGTCTTAAAACATACATAAAACTGCTTTCGAAATGTGGCTTCTAGAAGAAGCCTCAGAGGAACTGCTGTAAAGACATTATATTCTAACCAATTATTTTTAGTTGTGAAACTTTTCTTTTTCTTCTGATTTGAGTTTCCAGCCAGAATGTAAAATTTAATGACTTTTATGCAAATTCGAAGTGAGTTCGGAAGCAGTATTTAAGCAGCGGTTTTAAGAGTTCGTGAGTAATAGTAGAAGAGAGTTAGTTCCAAGTTTATGCTGCGTGTTTGAAATAGCTATAGTACGTGAATAGTTGGTGTTAGCTACCCTCTTCAGATTATATTGATATTCTAGGTTCGGCTTTGCTGTGTGCAACCGATTTAGCGGTTTAGATAAATAAGGAGCCAGTCCTGTAGCCCATCTCACGTTATTGTGATTTTACATTTATATTTTCTGTTCTAGTTATTTAGGCGCAAATGGGGGATTAAATTGGGAGCACCGAGTGTGCGCAATTCTTGTTACGTTTAGTTCAATGAAAAGGTTATTTAAACCTTCTTCTGCAGTACCTGTTCTTGACAGACATAGCAAAAATCCGGTACTAAGTCTTTTCAGTACCCTTGGATAATCTCGAAACAAACAAGAAGACTTTACACTGCAAGCTGTAGCTAATGTTTCAGACTCCTTTTTAGAATATCTATTTAGTTGACGACAATTTTGTGACAACGTGCGTAAAAACTGACTGTGATATTATAGAACGTGTTAAAAGAAGTGCGGAAACTGACAGTGAAAGTGGTATAGAAAAAGGTGATGCCATGCCAACATCAGCCGAATCTAGAACAGTGCTGTAAATTCTAAGCAAAACTCTTGAAGTAAATGGTGTTGATCAAAGAAGCTGCTAGTAGTTTTACGAAATTGAGACTGTAACCGAAAAATAGGAAAAACTGTTGATGAAAAATAGGAAAGAAACGCGGATAGAACAATTCTTTTGAAGAACTTAAAAATTTCATCCAAACCGAAATTATGAAAGTATTTCTATTAAGAATTAAAAAATTGTGTAAATCGCTTTATTTCGACATTAATTTTTAATTATTATTTTGGGATTAATTATTAGATTTAATTGCTAGTTATTATTTTATGAAGTAGGAGTACAGAACCTGATGTAACAATATGCAGTACGCAAATTGCCGTCTATTAAACTCATCAGCAAAATGAATTATATATCTATAGGGTGATTAAAAAAATATCTAGAAAAATATAGAACAAGTAGAAATAAGCAGACTTTGCAAAGGAATGTGTACTCAAAAATAGCGCTTTTGAGTGGTACAAGATGCCCTTTTTGTGGTAAGCAAAAGCATTATGCTGTCTTAAATGCTGTGCATTTTGAGCGGTACTGATCCTTATAGCCCCATCACACAGAGGACGCTATTAAGAAACTTTTCTGGGGAAAGCATTTCTCTCAGCACTAGTACGAAACGGGAATATTCCAGTCGAAATAGCTGCATTAAGTACCCGCAATGAGACTGAGGACATTAATTCTCGTGCAATTCTATCTCCCGTAGGAGAGGAAGATTTTTGGTAAGATTACTACACTCAACCAATCACATTTCCTGGAAGCAAAAATTTGGGAAAATTTTTCTTTCTACGAACAATTGAGGTTAGCTGAGTCTGGCAGTGGTTTTACCCGAACGCAGAGTTTGCGGGTATGCATTTTATCTAGTGGATGAGGCTAAAATGAAGCAGTTCCTCAAAGATGATGCAGAGGTGATTCCCGAGGTGGTGGAAATCACACAAAGATGCTACCCGAGAGTTCCCGCTTTTAGCAGTTGCTCCGCATTATAGTAAATACGTTTCAGTTCGTCAAGGTTCGCATTCGTATAGCGATAAAAACTGCGTGCAATTCGTACGGGAAATGAGGATTTAGGCCAGCAGAACACTTTTACGTACCCGTCAACAACGCCCTATACCACCTCAAGGCGCCATTTGAACATAAATATCCATTGTAAAATCTGCTTATTTCGGTTTCATCTATCTGCCTTTACATTTTTTCCAAATATTTTTGTATCACCAAGGGAGTTTTAAAACAGACCTTCCCAAAAAAAAAAAAAAAAAAAAAAAAAAAAAGAAACTTTCAAACGAGCCTTCCCTCAAAATTATAAGATTTTGTAAAATAGCTTACTAATAACATAATATTAAATTGATAATTTTACTAATTGTTTTGAAATAAAATCCCTTTATTTTAATTTTTAAACAATTCATATTAAATTAACTTAATTCTTTAAATTTTAATTTAAAGTAAATTATTTTAGAGCTTGGTTTATTTAATTTGATTTAAATGTGAAAAAAATTGCTCTCATTTTTTTATAGATTTTAGCATTTTTTTCCAACTCTTTTATTAATGAAAAATGAATTAATTTTGTAAAAGAATAATGTAATACCTCAAAAACAAATTATATAATTTTTAAAGACTTAGAAAAAGCCGATTAGTTATTTTCTTTCTCCTACTGTAAGAGATCTTTCCCTTTCTGTTCTTCATTGTAAAAGAAAGTGGACCGAAACTTAGCTTCCTTGCTTTACATCTTAAATAGCTAATTTGCCAAAGGATCTTCCTGGCTATTGTGGTTGTAAAAACTGATATCATGCCGGTCAAGATGCATTAAAAAGAATAGAAAATAGCTAATCACGATTTCAAAAACAGGACTGAGGTCTTAGGAAACAGGAATAGGAGATTCTTTAAAAAATAAGAAAAAATATATTTTCCAAAGCAGCGAAAAGCTATACTAAATATTATTGCGAACTTCTTATATGGAAAAAAAATTCGAAGTAAAACGCTTTATGCAAGATTTAACAGAATCAAAATATGAAAGTATTTCCATTTTGTGAAATAAATTTCTTAAGCGAGAAAATTTCTAAATAGGTTTTAATTTTTTTAAATTTAAATTCAATTTATTAATTTTTCTTTTAATAAAGGAGCTTACTTTGGAATCGTTGAGCCCTCGGTATTCGGGATGTATATGAATTGACTCCATGTAACGGACTTGCTCTGTATCGTCTGGAACAAGACGAAAGTGTTTGCCCAGCAGCACGTTCCATTTTTTGGTATTCAAGTTATCGCTGAAAGAGGAAAAAGAAATTCTTCGTCTTTAAGAAGTAGCATGAATTCTGTTGTGTCCACAGACTTCATTCAGTATTTTCATTAATAAGCTTACATTAATTTATAAGTCAAACAACAATTAATAATTAAGCTCACGTTGCTAGAAATCCGTATAGATCTATAGCTGATATTCCTTATAATAACTTCCCACATGCTACTGGAAAAGGATGTTACAGTGACTGGTCATTGCAGTTAATATTGATTTAATATTTTCTCCCCACTATTGTAACTGGTAGTTGTAATGAAATTGTTTCTGCAAAAAGTGATCTTTGTATAACGTGAATACGAGCAAGCTTTCCTCCCAAAGTCCTCTACGAAGGCATATCTCCTTTCAGGCAGGTAGCTTTCATAGCTGTGTCATATTCAAATAACCTAAACCAAGGAAATGATCTTAAAAAGAGCGCCTACTATATATACAAAGTTCTTTATAAAATTAAAAATTGGATATTGTTATATATTAAAGATCCGTCAAAATTTCCTTAAATAATCAAACCAAATGAATAGAACAAGTTTTTAGATTATGAGGGGAGGTAAAGAGCAAAGACAACGGAATGATCACTCTAAAATTCTCCTTAAAATAAGATGAATATCGCTTGTTACAAAATCGCTCACTTACGATAGTGAAATGGATATAACAGTGAATAGTAATAATTCGACACTGCGAAAAGGACGAAACGCAGACGCACTTTTTTGATGTTCTTCATATATATGTGAATATGAGCCAGTTTCTTTTCGGAAGCCCTCCGCAAAGGCAGCGCTCTCTTAGACAAATAACGTCAAATTCTTGCATTACGTCATCACATAAGTAATACTTTCATTTTTACTTCTTTTATTCTTTAAAATTTTTTTAAAAAATGCGTTCTTTTTTAATCTGAAACACGCTTTCTTTCATCCTCCGCTAATTTTTAATAGTTACAATGGGATTTAGTTCAGCCAGGGTTTGCAGTAGGTTCTCGTGGAGCTTTACAGATCCAACGTTCTTTGACAGATCTTTCAGGAACAAGCTAGTCTTCTAGGCTGTAGTTTCCAGTTCAGAATTTCTGGAACTGCCGTCTGGCTTACGCTTGCTATCCGATTCCCATACGCCGTAGGAATATTCTTATTTATAATAATTTAATTCAACTCATGAAGCAAAATACACCTAATACGCTCCTTTTTCATTTTCATTATAGCTTTGAAAAAATAACTGTTAAAACTGAACTGCTCTCTTCAAAAGTTGCGCTAAGAATAAGAACAAGGCAAAATACTACCTTTTTTATAGCAAGTTGATGCAAGTACTTTATTCCATCCCCCTCCAACTTTTAGTTCGTATGAAAAACATTGCATTACTTTTGTGGTGACCCAATATTTCGTTATTCATGTTTAAGCGAACAAATAAACAAAATCACTCACAGAACAAAACCTAAAAATCACTAAATATTTAAATTCCATAACCCATCACTCTATATAGCTTAATTCTTAACCTACTGGCGGCTACTTGCAGCTTCCTATTTATATTACTGAACTCTTCCAGAAAAATTAATCCTATCATCAAAATATTTGTTTTTTGAAAATACCTAAAATATTGCTAAACTGGCAACAAAAGTTTTCTCTAGGACCTGGTTGGTATCAGAAGCCTGAATCTCCCTCATCTTCGTAAATAATACCAAGTCTGTTTAATCAGATTTAATCAGAAATGCAAAAATTTCGAAATCATAATGCAATTAAATATATGCAAATATAATAAGTAACAGATTACACAAAGTAAAGATTATACGAAATGCTTAATGAATAGCCACAGAACTGGCTCATACATAAACATAACATAATGGACATAAATAACGCCCTAAATAAATATTTGAAAGGAAACAGAAATATATAGCAATAAAAATTACATTTAAAGCAGTACTAATTAGTATAAAAGCAAACAAGTGGAAATGTTTAAATAAACCATAACTTAGGAGTTTTGCCTCATTCCTTGTTATTGCAGCAGTATGTATGTATTTGAAGTCTGAGGAATTCTTTAAGAAAATAACATGCCCGTAAGAGAATATAATTACTATTTTGGTACTTGATATACCAGTAATCGATTATTAAAATTAATCCTAAAGGTCATTATCAGATAGTCAAATTTATCTTTAAATTTCAATGTTAATAATTAGCTTTATCAATTTAGTATATCCTTATTAGATGTCGATGATTATAGCCTTTTTTATAATTTGTCATAATATAATTTTGTTTTGAAAAATCATTTGACATAATGTGCTTTATGCAAATCACACGGTTTTTTTACTATGACATTGTTTCTTTGCATATCTGATATCCAAGAGAATCTTTGACAATATCGCATTAAAGTAAAAATATAGGCCAAATAACAATTATTAGAGACTTCAGGCTACAAGAACCAGAGGTAATTTTTATAGATTAGCAGTATTAATTTTGATGAATGTGTAGTGAAACATCCAAACTAGTACTTCAAATTTATAAAAACTTACTCCTGATTCCTGTTGAGTGAACTCTAATAATATCGCATTAGTCTATTTCTGAAATTTGATTTGTTGACTTTTATTGGTCTAAAACTGAGCTAGCTAGCTGCTAAAAGTATAAGAGACTATTCTTCTTAATTGAAGTATTAATTCTTTCGGAAGTAATTTTCACAAACAAATTACATTAAATTTATTGTTTATAATTAGTGATAAAATCCTTTACAAATAAAGAGCAAAAATACGAGAATACATTATGGGCAATTGATTCAGCATGAGATATTTAACTTTCACATTATAAAAGTGCGCTCGTAAGTTTGAATAAAACTATTGATTTTAAGAGCGATCCGACGCAGGTCCCTCTTTATCAGAAGCAAAAAATATTTCTTTATCTTTTAATGATATAAGACTTGCGTCTGGTGACCCTGAACATGGATAGAGTTTTATTCAAAATCTACACCAAATTGAGGTTCAATCCTAAAATCTCGGGGTTGAGCTACCTCTGTGGCATATATATAATTTTTTAACACTTCAAAATTTTAAGTTTTTAGAGTATTTTCACTCATTTCTATTTCCATTACAATAATTGGTTTATCTTTGAATTATGGTAACTTGGCAGTTTTTTGGTGAAAATTTGGCTTGCCAACAATCCGCTAGCCGATTTACGCTTATACTAGAACTTTTATGGAACAAAAATGCTTAATCATGACGAAGATTAGGTGCGAAATTGGGAGAAAGTGCAGAGTCACCCACTGCTTGCTGCGTTTTTAAGAATTGTACACGTCGACCTATTTTCACTTAAAAAAACATCTCAGAATTGCACAAAAATGGCATTGCGCACACTCTTGACTTTATCCATGTACACTGCTAAAGTCTTAGCTAGTAACCTTTTTGCCTTACCAAAATGTCGCCAAACTACCTGTTACCATATTCCAAAGATTAGCCCAATAATTAATGCAATTTAGAATTTTTATGCAAATCTCAGTTACACGATCTAAACTGTAGTTCATGCTGACGCCTTGTCTGATTAGATTCGGCTTCAGAAAGTGCTCGTTGCTTTTGGAAGGCCCACCAGCGGCCGAGCGATAAGGTCATTGAACGCTTCCAGTTTGATTCGGAGTTCGAATGCCCGTGAACGTTTTGGCTGCAAGCGCGTTTCCGTGGTTTTCCGCATGCGTAGCGTGTATACGAGCCTGTTTACCTTAGAAAGTCCTCCACGAAGGCATCATTCCCCTTAGTCAGATAGCCGTCGAATGCTTAACCATTATCAAATAAAACAAATCGTTGCTTTTGGCAATGTGCTTCTGACTTACTAGTTCGCAGTGTGATAGCATTTATTAGGTACGTGAAAATAGAAATTTGAGAATTAAAAATCTTCTAAGTGTCCAGTTGACTTATTTAATTAGAAATGCAAATACTTAAAGATTTTAGGCCAGTTAGGGTCTTCTTCGATTAACTGGGCCCCATTTGGTTAACTGGTCAAATTTAACTAGCCATAAGAATGGGAAATCTAACAATATAGACAACTTGTAGAAAGAATGAGTATTTAAATCAAAATAAATACAAAAAGCATAGACAAATACGTATATTTACAAATAAGAACGTACATAATTATTCCGATGGGCAGTTTTAGAGTGATTTAGTTTCATTCTTAGTTGCAGTTCCTAGAATTCTACCAGCATGAGCTATTGACTCCAGAGGTAAATAAACCAAATAGCCTTTTGAAAAGGAATGCTCGAACCTTCAAACCAGCATCCCCGCTCTATAAACCTTTTCGCGGCACTATCTTTCGTTTCAGCGCCATTTTGATGCTTTTGTAATAGTAAAACGCAATTTAATTTTTCACTTTTCCGAACAATGTTTTGGAGCATGGATGATATATTTTCTTGCAAAAATTAAATCGCGAATTCCTGTCATTTAAACAATAATCAAATCATAACCCATATTAATATTTTTTCCTTTAAAAAACAAAAAATGAAAATTTCTACTGAAAAACAACTGAAAATTTCGAAAGTAAATTTGTAAAATCGCATGATCAGTGTTCATTCTTCCTGCGTATTTGTAATGACATCACTGCATAACTATTTATGAGGTGAAATAAACAGATTACCACATTTGACCTTTTTGCGCATAGTTGCGACTGGCTTTCCGTTAACCGAAAAGAACGCCAGTTGTATCAGGTCATTCTACCAACAATATCGTTTTTTGTAGCAGATTTTGAAGAAATAAGTAAGATACTAATTTTACAAATAATTAATAATAACTTAACAAACTCTGTATTCAAAATCTGATCAATAACATTCTTCCAATGCTGCAACAGTTTTTTTGAGCAGCTGTTGCAGCTTTAAGAAAATCAACCGGATTTTAGAAGAAAATGTCATGAATGTCCGTTTCAAGTGCCTTATAGAAATTGAAATTGTTTTCATCAATGAAATTTTGCAAGTTTCGAACTTGTAGTCATTTTTTATCATTTATTTTGTTTAGTTATTATTATTATTATTGTTTTAGATATTTAAAAAAAAAAAAGGAGAATTTTTTTCACTTGAACATTTGAGATGCTCGCACGTTCTCTTTCATTAGCGTCTATAAGTTCATGTGGAATCCGCCTAGCGAGCTTAGAGATAATTCCAAGTTCCTTAAATGGCAATGTGCAAATGATAATGATGTGGTGTATTTAATTACGGCACACTAGGGCTATCTGCCTAAGGGGAGGGATGCCTTCGTGGAGGACTTTCTAAGGGAAACTGGCTCGTATACACGTTACACATGGGGAAAACCACGAAAACGCCCATGCAGCCAGCCCGTTCGCGGGATTCGAACCTCGGACCGAACTACCAGTGTTCAGCGACTTTACCGCTCGGCCGCTGGTGGGCCCAAATGATAATGATGAATGAACCTCTTCTTCCAGCTATTCAACTGCGACTTTAAACTTTTAAGATCGACTTGTCGAAATTTACAGAGACTGAATTAGCTCTTTATGAATATTCAAAACAGCTTTATCATACATTTCCTCTTCATTTTTATAATATTTGCTATGCTATTGTGTTCTTTTTTATTCGTAAAGCATGATGCATCTGAATGTGCTCTTCTGTGACCTCGATTTTCATTGAAGGGCTATTAAGGCAAGAGTGGGGCTTACAAGCCCTGCGTATATCTAAATGAAGCAGTCTTCGTTTGGTGATATGTATACATGTGAAAAACACTTGTTGTGTGCAAAGTGTGTACAAAATTTTATTATAGTATTAATGAATTTAAATGCTATATACAAAAATTATTTTAGATGATTAAGGAATTTAAATCAAATTGTTTGGTTTTAGAGTTAATAAAAAATACACTGCTGGCCATTAAAATTGCATACCATGAAGGCTGCATGCAACAAACGCCGGATTTGCATGGAAGGTACTACATGCTGGGGTTATGTAAATGTTTAGAATTCCAGCTCATGCGTACAAAACTGGTATGAGTAAAGCCATCTACACTGTATATAAACGGGATCCAATGACTGTCAGGTGAATCTGAAATAGATGGATCCAAGAGGGCCATACTAAACGCAGCTCAGGCCCTTAACGTCTGAGAGGACAAGCATGTTGTCCTCTAGGCCTATATAGCCCCGTCACGTGCCCTGAGTCAGGAGGTCTGCGCGGACAATGTGACAACGTCTACAGATCACGAGCTGTTGGTACAGCGATCTTTATTGCTGCTTTTCTTGAAGCTGCAGCAAAGGCAGCTGCGCCTACAGTGGTACAACAAATGACGACATTAAACATAGGAATGGCAGTATGTCGTCGTTTCAGATTCTGGTTTTGGACATAGCATCATGACGGACTAATCCGTTTGTGGAGGTACCGTGGAGAAGGAACATTACCAGCTTGCATTTGTCATCGTCATGCGAGCTCAGCAACCTAGATATCTTGTAGGGTGCCATTTAATATACATCTCGATCACTTCTTGTTTGCATGTGGACGGCGGTCGCTACATTTCTGGCGTGTAAGGACCGTGGCTGGGCCCCAACTTCAAGACCTTTGTTATGTCATCCTTAAATAAGTTAATTCATGACTGTATGCTGTTCGTGCCTTTCTGACCTTCCCCGATGCAGAGGATATTCGACTGTTACTCTGGCCAGCATGTTCTCTAGGTTTCTCACCCACTGAGAATATCCGGTCATTAGTTGCTGAGCGATTGGGACGCATCCACTCTTCAGCCACTACGACTGATGAGCTCTGGCATAAAGCCGCATGGAATGAAAGTTCCCGTAACTGCACCCAAGCTCAGTTCGACTCGATTCCCAGCCGGTTATAGCCGTTGCTGTTGCCAGAGATGTGAGCTCTGTATATTGAATTCTGCATGCTGTCAGCCCCAAACCATCTGTAAACTTAATCATGTCTTCCTCCTATTAATACCCTATACGTATAATAACTAAGATTCTGCTATTTGCTTTCCTTCTTGGTGCAGCATTTTTAATGGCCAGTAGTGCATTTCAAAGACAGAAATTCAGCTGTATTGTATCTTAATTGTTTAGTTTTTGTTCAAATTCTCACTGCTTGGGAATTTTAAGATGCGGCTGTAAGCATGGATAGGAAAGCCTTTTAACTGCTGGGTTCAAGAAAAGAACATAAAGCGGGGCTTTTTGTCAGTTAGTCATTTACTTTTCAAAGAATGTTACAGGTAATTTTACCAACTGTCAAAATGAATATGATAATCTAGGAGTTAATATGTATTTAAACCTAAAATTCTAGTGATTTTTTTCTATGGTCTGTCAAGTCACCCCATGTGATCCTTATGGAAAACAAGGGCTATACGAAAGAAACTGTGTTGATTAAAATTGCGATTTTGAATTGGGAATTAATTAATTATTAGTTACTGCAGTTTTCATTGTGCTTTTGTTTGTGCCAATCAAACTAATTAGTCTTTGGAATGTTATTTAACTTGAAATGTTCAATTAGATTTAATGTATGGATTAGAATAATATGAATTCATAATATTAGTTGAGTGATATATTTAATAATATCAATATTATTTGGTGATTTATTTTTATGTGCGATCGTTCTTTTCTGGTGTCGTGATAAAGTGGTATTATTGCATTCAATGAATATGTTTAATGTTTATATTAACCTATCTCTGATTTGGAAATGCTATAAATTATGAAATTACAGAGATATTAACTGGCTAAAAGAGAGAGTATATTTTAATTTTGAAAACAAAACTTAGAATTAAATTATTATTGAGAATAAAATTTAGATTTCAGAGAAGAATGATCACTTTACTTATAAAATATGCCTAATTAAGCCATAGAGCCACTTGTGGTCAGATGGGCGGGCTGCTCCCACAAACAAACCTTATAAAGTATTGAATTTAATTAGTTTGTTTATTTACGAAGATAAACTGAGATTAATTTAATTGATTAGTCACCAGAGTCCACTTTACAAAATTTCAGGTTCTCAGTTTTTTTTTTTCCCTCCGACACTTGTTGATTTGGCATTAACAAAGTCAATTTCATATGATGTCAACTTTAATACGAGTAATTTAACTTTATTTCCATAATACACTTGTTTAAACGTGTTAGAACATGTATAACAAGTCCTGCGTGAAAAGTGACATGAGTTATTGCATTATCTGTTATTTTTTCTCAAGCTTATTTTTATATTGTACATTATTTTCAATTGTACAACAACTTGTGGTTTCTGTAATATTTTTGTTTATTAAGCTATTCTGCAAGTTCTTTACATGTAAGTTAGACCATTTGGGTAATATCAAGCTGATTCAGTGAACTTGAAATACACATCTGCTGGGAAAACACTTTGGGAAAGACACGTGTGCTTACTTTTTGAAACAGTGAGCAGCGGTTAGCAACCACTGCTTATGAAAAAGGACTCCGCCACACCAGTGACTGAAAGGCTCGTTCTGAACCAGACGCAAAGAAGCTTGCCATGGCCAGCTGCCGGGAACAGCCATTCTTCCTCCCACAATACGGTAGCTGTCCAACACGGGAGGTATCTTGGGTATTCCACACTGCTCATTCGTTGTATTTCTGACTCCTGAAAATGATCTTAGATCGTCAGTTTGAACCCTCACTAAAATAATTCTAAGTTGCTTATGTAGTAAAAGTTATCTTGAAAGAAATTGTGAATAAAATAAAACTGAATCGGTAAGCCGAAAAACTGCATTTTTTAATGAACTTTTCTTATTTATTATTAGCTATTATTAAAAAAATAATGCATATTTTATAAGGAAAACAAGTGACTGATGTGCATGTGTATTAAAGAATGATGGGCTATGAAATTCCTGTTCTAGAGGTGGTCTCTGAGTACTTACATTTAAAGCCTAATTTCAGAAGAGGGCGAAATGCGTACTTTCTCCGTACATCTACTTTCAAAGAATTTCTAGATTCTCTTGAAAGCTAGATTCTCAAATTAGCTGCTATGGAAATCATAGTTATTCCGCAGTCATAAGTTTGTTTTGTTTTGTAGCAAACAATATTTTCAATCTCTCTTTCTTTAAGCAAAACTTTTCAGGCTTTCTCTCTCGCCTTTTTTTTTTTCTTTCTTTTTCTTCTTCTTCCTCTTTTTTTTTCCTCTTAAATTTTAAGAATGCTGTGTATTTTTAATTCCTAATACAGATCTCAAGATAGGTTAAGCGAAATTCAGAAAGAATAGTACTGCTTCCAGAAAAATCGGGAGGGTTAGCAGCTGTACAATTTCCTCTGAAACACTTCGAACTGGAGATGTGATGAAAAAACATCACATCTCCCGGAAGATGAACAAATCTCCCGGCTTTAATTTTTAGCATTTGTTAGAAAAATATTTCCCAGCGTGTAAGAAATTAATACATTTAATTATATGTATAAATTTATGTAAAAAAATGTATAAATTTCATTTTCTCGTTTCTGTAGAATTTTAGCATAATTTTTCTTATTAAATATTATTTGATTTGAATTGTAAATTTTCTTAATCTACATCAGACATGTGTGGAACATCTTATGAAGATTCAACTAATATTTAGTTAATTAATATTAGTATTTAATTATGTTTTACATCAATAATGACGATGAGTTTATCCGCACAGTAGTTACATTAATTGTTAATTTTATTTTCTTCGTATTTAAAAGCACTGGGATAAATAAATATTTTCTTTCTTCTTCAGAATTTTCTCAGTATAAAAGAGTAAAAAAATTACAAAATGAAATTAGCCAAAGAATAGCAAATTTAGATGTCTAATTAAATATAAAATACTTTCGTCAGAATAGCATTTAAAAAGAATTAAATAAAATAAAATAATTAATAAAATTAATTTAAATAAATTGCATTATAAAATAAATTTTAATTAATTTGGAGTTTTCTTGAAATATAGGCACCTCATGGTGCTATATCCTCCCACAACTCCTGGCTTTTCTTACTTCAAGACTGGCTGCTATAAAAGTGGAAAATTTGACTTTATTGAACTACTTTTTTCAATTAAATGTTTTTATTAGATTATTTGACTTATAGAAGCATTTTGTTTGAATTGATGATTATTTAATTTATGAGATATAACGTATTAAACTGAAATGATCACTTAAAATTAAAAATTATACATTATTAAATTATAATTTTTAATTAACAATATACTATTTTTTAAACAATTCTAAAATTAATTTTTGAGATGCTCAGGATATAAAAAACGTGGAACGATTCATCAAAAGAAATGATTTCTTCCACCTTTCAAAGAAACTAATTTTTTTAACTGTACACTGAGGAAAAAAAAAAGAACGGTTTTATACCGCCCGTTCTACTGGGCCGATTGACAAAATTCAAACTGCGTTTTTCATGTCTCGAAACTGAGACTTAGGATATATATTAGATTTATATATAGCATTGTTCTAACATAGGTATTTTTACACAAAATCGGACTTTTTCTGAAATAACATATCAATTGTTTTCCATATTTCGATTCTATGACTCAAATTATGCCTAGATATAAAATTTTGTAAAATTTGGTGCGAAATTTACAGAGAAATTCAAAAATTTATCTTGGCACAATTTTTTCGCCAAGAATAATTCACTTGGCGAACTTCTCAATATGTGGCAACCAATTTTCCTTTCCCTTCCATTATGCCGGAGGGTAAAAAAAAGACACCTTGTTCTAACCTTTCTTTATGCATTGCGCATAAATGGAAAAAAAGCCACTTCGTTTCTACTCCCAAATAATTTTAGAAAAGTGTCTAAATCCCATTTGATGTTTTGTCGCTTTCAACAAATATGCCAAATTTCAAAACGCGCCTAAACAGAACATAAAAAATAAGCGAATTTTATTTGGAATGAAGCTAAATTTAGAAATGTGAAAGGAAGAGTCAAATAAGTTTAATAAAAAAAGATATTAATAAGTATATATCAAATTCAATTAACATTGAGGAGCTAAATTTTTGAGAGCTAATTTTTTAAAAACTACTCGTGCGATTTTTACAAAACATGGTAGTTTGGCGTAATTTGAGTCATAGAATCGAAATATGGGAAGAAATTGGTATGTTATTTCAGAAAAAGTCTGATTTTGTGCCAAAATACCATCTAATACATATCCTAAGTCGCGCTTTCAAAACATGAAAAACGCAAGTTGAATTGCGTCAATCGGGCCAGTAGAACGAGAGATATAGAACTGTCCCCCTTTTTTTTTCGCAGTGTATATTTTATTCATATATTTGATTATTGAATGGATAAGCAGTTTAACAGCATTAATTTGGTCGTATAATCTAATTTAATTAAAATTTGAAGTAAAGTCAATAAGAATTTTCCAAGTTTTTCCTTTTTTTCCAGTTTCTTTCGGGGTGTTTCCCGTTTAAAATTTGTAAATTTGTGTTTTATATAACACATATTAAATTGAAAACTTGAAAACAAAAATTACGAAAAGCTGAAATGTACTCTTTTGTTTAATTAAGAATGAATTAAGAATGTTGAATTATAACATTATTTCAAGATTACAAAATGCGCTTTTATATTAAATATATTCTGCATTAGTGACATCGACTATCTTGAAGAAAAAAAAAATAAAAAAAAAATAGAAGTATGTTCGTAATAGAATCCTACTCTGACCCCCAGTTTTGTAAATCTGACTTTGCTTCATTATTTGGTGGTTTGTGTTAATTAAATTTTGCAGTATCTAAATCACTTCTCTGAATCCAAAATAATCTTTGGCTTTAAGATTTCAATTAATTATCAAAAAAGAAATTTTTGCGGTACATCCGAAGTGGATACTGGATGTCGCGTGAAGTATGGTGCGCCTTTTTGCCTTCAAGACGGCAGAATTAAAGTCGTTCAATGTCATAAAATGATTCTTATCGTACCGGCAGTTACATTTTGTTTCATTTATGTGATTTACGTAAAAAATGCTTTCAAATTTTGACGCTAAAAATATTTCAGCGAAATCATAGCTTAGGTCAATGGTCTCAGAATAATTCTGTGAGGTTTTCAATTAAATGGGATGAAACACTTTTAAACGAAACCCTAGCAAAGAAAAACAAGAAAAAATAGGAAAAATCTTTTAAGTTCTTGTTAAAAAAAAAAAAAAAAAAAAAAAAAAAACTAATGACGCAACGCGCGTTAATCGAAATTCGCATTAACCGATAAAATTTCCTATAATAATACCATGCATATCGGAAATTTTGTTCATGTTAACCGAATGTTCATCTTAAGCGAGTTCTTGTTAAGGGGGATTACTGTATTTCCTTCTCGCAGAACTGAATTAACCGTTAAGCAAAATAAGCATTTGTTTAGGAAAGAAGGCACCACAGAAAGATGCGTTGGGACTCAAGAAAAGAGGCTCCACAAAAATTTCTCATTTCCAGAGACAAAGAGAGAAGTAATAAGGGGAAAAACGCCCGGCCTAAATGTATGCCACCGCACCAAAATCCGTAAAGCGTTTAGGGCCTCTAAGAGTCTTATGATTCGTTCCTGCCTTTACGTTATAATTATTATATATGCATGTTTATATAAATACTTATTAAGTGAAATTTAAAATTTAGTTTAAAAAGAACTTTAATTCAGTAAAAAAATTTCAGTCCTTCAACTTCTTTTAGGTTGTGCGTTTAGTCCGCCCGAAATTTCAGTTTAAGACCACTGGTGCAGGTAAGTAGGATTCACGTTCTTTGCCCTAATTAAATGATTTGATCCAATTTCTAGTCCGCTGTCCTACGATATCGCTGAGATAGTTATTCATTCATTATTATTGCTTAATGGATAATTCAATTTTTTGTCTATAAGATTACTGAATTGCAACGTGAAGACAACGTGAGACAACGTGAGTTGTATTTTTTAAGCTGAAATGGCGCAGGAAGTAAAATAATGTTTTACAGTGTCGCAAGACATATGTAATTTCTTTAAAATAGTATGAAATTTTAACCACATTCTCCTACCAAAGGTTAGAGCGGTTGGCAATTTATTATTTCCTTTTAATCTATAACCAATGTTTAATTTGTTGCAAAACTGGTTTTCGAGGGACATATAGAAGGAAGTCTTCGAAATTATTGACCATGACTTGCAAGTTTTTGTCGAATGCTTTTAATTCACTCTCAAATTAACCTCAGAGTACGGTGTTCATGTTCTTAAATGCGATAACCTCAAATAAAAAAACTGAGACTGAAAAGATAAATTCTCTATTATCTGAATTGTTTCCGTGTTCATTATTTTCTACTCTCTTCTCTTTTTTCTTTCTGTCTCCTCTGTTTGTTGTTATTTAGCTGATAAAGGTTATTGCAACCCCTAAGTCCTTGAAGAGAAAGTATACTTTAATCAGAACTCACAGATTTAATGCTTAGGGAAAGCATTTCTACTCTACACTCTTATGTCAGACATTAAAACTTAAACATTCATTATGATAAAAATGTTTTACAGAATTAAGGAGAAAATACTCGTACATAAAGTATAAATAAGTATTCGGTATTGTTTTTAATTCAATTCGCTGCCATTAGGTTTTTGAGCTTGTGGATTATTGCCCGACTTGAAGTATTATTTCTTCAATTGCTATTTGTATTCGAAATGCATTACATTGATTTACATACGTAAAAGCAAGAATGAAGATTTCATATTCAAACTGGTTGGGAAAAATTTAAACCAAATAATTATTCTTTACCAAGACATGTGATATTAAGTTACAGAAGTTATCAAATAAAATAATACTGCAAATTTTCATCAAAGTTATCGATTAGATATATTATAAATTATATTAATTAAAACATATTTTTATAAATAAATATAGAGATTCTTGAGAAACTTTTTTTCTCATAAAAACGGGCAGTTTTTTTCCCTGAACAGCCATTGTAATAATCTAAAGAATAAATTAAAGATCGTATGCACTTTGAAAGGCAACATGTCGAGAAATTTCATTTAGATTTTGAATTAACAATCTCATTTCTTTTGAAATAGCAACAATTTTAGGTCTCGTGAATTATAAATGCTCTGCTAACATAATGTTAATCGGCCTTTTTAAAACACCAAAAAGAAAAAGCTGTGAAAGTTTTTAACACTTAAATTAACATATTATTTATAACTGGTAGTCCAACAGCAATTTCTCGTATTTCTTTCGATGTCAAAAACGTTTTCAGCAAGTGTTATATCATGTTGTGCTACCATGCATTTATCATATACACCTTGGTAAGAAGATAATGAAGTCACTTGTTTGGGGAAATGCAGTCTTCCCTTTCGAGAAACACTGCTCTGTCCTGTATATCAGCAATTAATCAGCACTGTCCTATATATCAGCAATTAAGTAAGCAATTGCATATCAGCAATTGCTTCTTAGGCGTTCACAAAGGAAGGGCAAATGGATCCCCTCGGAATCAAATTTAAAAAAAGGTGTTTTTTTTTATAATGATGGCCACAGAGTGTATATTGTGAATATGTATGCATACGATACTTGACTTTATGCAATACTGTATTCTGTAATCGACTTGTGATTCCTTCGCAAACAAAATAAGTAAATAAAAATGTATATTATATAACTATTTGTTCTAATCTACCTCTGAAACATTTTCTGGAGAAATATATGATCTACCTGCGTTTGATAGTCATAGCTGAGACAGGCACCATGAAAGCACCAGTACTTTACCGTAAGGCAATGGATGTTGCCCTTCGACTACAGCTTTTTGTTCATTTAGCAGTTCTCCAGGATGTAATTACTTTTTCAGTATCAGTGCTTAGCAGGTTTGTTAAGATGGAATAAATTGTGTGTGTGCCACCGTTGCATTTTCTAGGTTACAAAGATTGTTGTGGGCCCACCAGCGGCCGAGCGGTAAAAGCCGCTGAACACTGGTAGTTCGTTCCGGGGTTCGAGTCCCGGCGAACGGGCTGGCTGCATGGACGTTTTCGTCGTTTTCCCCCATGTGTAACGGGGATACGAGCCAGTTTCCCTTAAAAAGACCTCCACGGGGCATCCCTCCCTTTCCGTGTAGTGCCTAAGGGCGGAGCACGTAATAAATAAATAAAAAAAAAAAAAAGAAGATTGTTGTGAGTTGCTCTGTTAATTACTTCTCTGGAATGTAAGTTGTTGGAGTAGCTTATAAAATGAAAACAAATGATATAAGGTATTTTGGAACTTGAGATTTGGAACCTCGTCTATAGTTTGGTTAGGACATGAGATAATACTGGATTACTTTTTAACTTCATGATTCGCATTGTTACCGGATGGTATATTCTACATCAGTATGATATTAATTTGTGCATATTTTTGCCACTCCCTTTTTTATTATTGATTATTTTTCTGTGATTTTTACTTTTTATGAGGAAGACTTTTTTCATCATAGCATATTTTCTTATCAGGCATTTGATAAGCTAATGTTAGCCGTCTCTTAGTTGACTGATCTGAGCATTCGTTGAGGGAAGGTTTCTGTAGCAAACGTATCTACGGAATAGCTACTACTCTCAAGTTATTACTATTTGATGTACCATCTAACACTATACATATGTATTAGACATAATTGTTTGATTTCAAATTTGTGTAGGTATTTTATATGTGCTTCTCTTATCTTAGAAAGCTAATAGCAGTTCAACATAGATAGTCATTACTGAAATTCATCATACAAAATGTGAACTAAATAGCTGAAGGATACTCACCACAATTCTCCTCATCTGTACCATCACCACAATGATCGATGCCATCGCACTGTTTTTCCTTCGGTAAGCATTTAGTCCTATGACGGCAGGTTATCTGTTCATCCGTACATCTGACTGTAAATGAGAAATATCGAGTAATTAAACATGAGAAGTAACAAAATTAGTGGCAGTAGAAAACATCTCCCCCCACCCACCCAAAAAGAAAGTAGAAGAAAAAAGTGTAGTTTGTGAAGTGTCCATAACAAATTTAGGTAAATGAAAATGTTGCATCATTTTTATTATTTGGAGAAAGGATCCAAAGATCTGGTGATAGCAAAAAAGTTAATAATGTTATTTATTATTATTATATAAATAATAATTATTATTATGCAATTTTAATAAAAATGGAAGACTTTTTCTGATTTTTCAATTATTTTCAAATTCAGCGAGGCAGCATCGCAACTTTTCTTTCATTTTTCTCCAATCATGCATTTCGGTGTATAAGCCAATAAATTTCAGCAAAATTTTAATGTTGAAGTTTGGGTGTAGATTTAAATACGAATTCAAAATAATTAAAATTAATTTGACTAAAAACTTATATTATAGTTTAAATAATTGAAAAAATTATTTAAATTTTTAATCCAAACGTACATTAATGATATTTTTCAGTATTCTTCAGTGATATTTCCGTGTCCTGCTCGAAATTTTCTAGAAATTCTTAGAAATTTCTCTGCTAGAAAGAAGTCCACGTGTATGACATTGATTTTTTTTTTTTTTCGTCATAATAATATCATCTTCAGTTCCGTTCATAGCACTGTTCACCAAAAATGATAGCATTCAGTTTATAACCAGAATACGCAGTGCCTTTTTATTTCCTTGTACGAAGTAAAAAGGAAGTATTGTAATCGCGAAAAGTTTCAGGCATTCAACGAAAATATCCATTTTGACCGCTATCGAATGCAATTTAACGATGTTTATGCGTGTAATCATCGTAAGGACAGAACAAAAGACTCTTTTTCCTCCTTCAAAAAAATTATAAAAACTGTTTTAAAATGAATTCTAAAGAGAATTTTTTCGTGGCGTTTGTACGAACGTATGTACGTACGTGATTACGTACGTGGCTCATATCTCAAAAACGAGTAGCCTCTGAATGTCGAAATTTTGTATATAGGACTGCTATAACATGTAGATATGCACCTCGTATTTTGGTTGCAATCGGCCGCACCAAACGTATATAAATATATTTATGTATATATCCACTCTGTTACTGAAGTATTGTAATCGCGAAAAGTTTCAGGCATTCAACGAAAATATCCATTTTGACCGCTATCGAATGCAATTTAACGATGTTTTTGCGTGATATATGTACGTAAGGACAGAATAAAAGACTCTGTTCCTCCAAAAAAATTATAAAACTGCTTTAAAATTAATTCTGAAGAGAATTTTTCGTGGCGTTTGTACGAACGTATGTACGTACGTGCGTACCTACGTATCTCTCATATCTCAAAAACGAGTAGCCTCAGAACGTCGAAATTTTGTATATAGGACTGCTATAACATGTAGATATGCACCTCGTATTTTGGTCGCAATCGCCGCACCAAACGTATATAAATATATTTATGTATATATCCACTCTGTTACCCGGCTCAGTGACCTCAGTTTGTTTACTCGTATATGTTTGTTAATTGTACATTTTTTGCTTTAAAAATGATTGAATTATGTTGTTTTTATCTTCCGGTTAAGGTTTTTATGCCTTTAGTAAATCTGTATGCAATATTTTTAGAATTATCAACAATTTTAAAGTTGTTTAAGTGCCGCTAAGCCTTCTTTTTTTTTATGGCGGCCATTGATTGTTTACATTTAAAACAGCAGACTAGTGGATTTGTTGCCAATCTAGAGAAACTTAGCTTCGCAACAACAAAGATAACGCCTTCATTTATTATTGCCAATTAAATCATGCTTAATCTTTTCTGGAATTTTTTCGAGGAAATAAGTGTTTAAGATTTACTTCGTAATTTTTAATATAGATATTTTGAGTTTTTATATTTTTTGCCTTTTCGCGAAGTGCGGAGAACTGAATTAATTGAATGAGAAATAATCAATCGTCTGTGAAAAAACTGTTTTCTTTTTTGTTTTGCTTGCTTAATTTCTTTTATACATTCATTCTAGCTTTATTATAGTATTTTGAATAGAACATGTGGAAACGATTAGATAATTTTATTCTTTAATTTAAATGATATAAATTTTGTGGCATTATGAGTTATAATATGAAACGAAATATAATACTGTTAAGTAAAATCTAGCGCCAGTGTATCGCTATGGTAACACAATACTAGAGTGAATTTTAAAGAAATGCATTTCTTTTGTGGTTTATGCGCTGTCGGCGAAGTAGATTTAATTCAATCCAATAAGTTTAAATGAAATGCAAGAAAAATGCATATAATTTAATATTCCGTACAAGGAAGTCATGTGGTGTACACATCAGATTTTTTAATTTGGTTAACGAACGCACTGAGTATGTGCACTCCATTTTCAAGTCCATTTTCTCATGGACTTCAGTCTTTAGCATTGGACCCATCAGTGTATTTTCCACCGTAGTGGAACTAAAGAATTGTATTATAATCTCAAAAGCGGAAGCGCAACTGAGAGAGAAAGATCATACGAATCCTTGAGAATAGTTACTACAGTTAAGAGCCAAAATACACTGGCCGGAAAATTAAAAGAACAACTTTGAGAAAGGGCTTTATATTATTTCTATTAAGTATAATGAAAGATAATTGGTTTGTAGTTCAAAAATCAGCGTTATCATATAATCCCACGGGATTTGTCAGTGCCAAACAAAAGCGTCCAAGTTTTTGCGCCCATTCTTTCAGCAAGTCTGGAAGGAATGAAAATGAGTGTTTCAGAATCCAATTTCAAGAATTCTGCGAATAGCTGGCTAAATTCTTTCGGGCGGGGAGAGTGGAACATGTTATTGAGAAGGCATCTGACGAATTGTGAGCAAGCAGCGCAAATTCTCACACAAGTCTGTAAAGACCTAAAATGAATAGCTAAAACGTTATCTCAAAATCTGGCATTAGTTTAAAGATACTGGAGATATGTACAAAAAGCCAGGTAATGTCTAAAACGTGCGACGACAGACTCTCAAGACTGTCATTTAGCATCTTTTTTTAAAAGAAATAGGCAACTAATATCCGTCCAGATTTAACAAGGAAGTTCTGTGCACCTACATGCGCTCGGCTATCCAAATATATCGTTAGTGACAAGCTGCATACAAGAGGGCTGCATGCAAGGGAACCTATGATTCCCCAGCCGTCCGTATATGGCTCCAAAAGCACTATCAACTCTACTTTCCAAAACATTAGATTTTCCATTCCTTCAGTTCACTATAATCCTGTCCAAGTATGTTTTCCGGGGTACAGAGGGTTCAGGTCTTCAACCTCTTCTTTGCCACTCAACATCACTCATTACGGTTACCACATCATGAACTTTCATCATCATGCCCAATGTGGAATTACATCAGGTTACAAGAAAGTACTGCTTATGCATTAGTAATCCTATATAACCATTCCCATATCAACGTACCACAAAAACTTATGATGGGTGTTTACGAAATCGGTCGTCAAAACAGCAGTGGTGTAGAAATCACCATAGCTGAAATGCCTCAGAACGCAAGAACTGGATCCCCGTCCTGTGATCCTCAAAGGGCCTGCCTATCGGGTATAAGTGTGTCCAAGCTCCTGAAGACCCCTTCCACGTTTTCCTTATTGACGACTCTGGTTTTTGTTAGGATAGGGATTCTAGCTACAATCTGGAGAGAGCAAAACACACGCGATAAGTCTGAAAACATCCATGAAGGGTGTCTGTACCAAGGGGGTGGAAACAGGATATGGGCGGGCATCGTTACGAACGGCCGCACTGACGTACGCACTTTTACCAGGGCAACTATTAATGCTGGTACTGCGCTCAGCATTAATAGCTGAACAGCTAAGATTCTTGATCCTTATGTCAAGACTTTACGGCCGCAATCGGTAATATTTTCCTTCTAATGCTCGTTAGTTAGTACTCCTCATCATCTCGCTGCACTAATGACTGATTATTTGAAGACAAAGAATCCAGCGGATTGAATAGCCTGCATATCCTGCGTTTTTAAATGCGATATAACGTATATGGAACTCACGAGAAGGCTGATTTGCATGACTGCAGCCCCCACCATGCATTTTCCTGAAGCTTCAAGGTATCTTTGTTATCGCAGAAACTCCTGGGCAAACTAATACACAACATGTAAAATGACTGTAAAGTTTGCACTTCGGTCAGGGGGTCAAATATTAGCCAGAAATCAGCATATTGTTCAAGTAGCCACCAATCAAAGTTTGAAGCTTCAGCAGTGCAGCACAGATTTGAGAACGGCCTCGCCAAGCAAAGTAATTGGTATGACAGTACCACCAGAGAGGCCGAACTCTTGCTAAAAGATTTCTGGTCAAGTCCAGTGGTAGATTGGATTCAACAGATGAGGTCTGATTAAGTTCAGTAGCCTAGTAGGTTCTGCCAAAGACCGATCTTATTCCCAGAGAGACAGAGTGAAATTTCCATGTCACTATCTCCATTCTCCAGTTGATGAGCGGAATATGTCCAAGAGAAGCCATGAAGTAGCAACAAGAGATGTGCAACTTCACTTAAGCCATTGTTCTTAACCTGCATGTGCCACGTTCACTTTCATCAGTTCAAGTTGGTTTCAATATTTTTATTGGATAATTTGCGTTTTCTAAAAAGTTATATTTCAAAGTCAGATAACCACAAAGTTTTCAAGAATTAAAATAGGAATTAAATTTCAAAAGTTAACGAAGGATGAACACACACTTCATTAATTTTTTTCTATGTATTTCAGAAACATTATAATAACAACTTTTCCCTGCCCAAGTTTATATATTTTCTTTATTCTTCATAAAATTCATTTTTTGAAGGTAGTTCTGCATTTCAAAGAAGTGTCAAGCATGATCTAAAAAAGCTCATGAGCAAGTTAAATGTCCTTAGCTCCAAAATAGTTCAGGTTACATGAGTTATTTCTTTAATTTTTCAGCTAGTGTAATTTTCGCTACGGTACTACCAGAGCTTCAAATGATTCACATGCCTTTATGTTGAGAGAATTAGGGAAAAGAAATTATTAGTACCAGAAGTGTACTTTCATTATAAAATGCTCCCACTTCTATTTTTTGAATGAAAGGCTGAAGGTGAATTGTCACTCAGCTCATCCCATAACTCTTTCTAAATTAAACGGCCAAATAGTCGCACTTTTGGTTATATGTAATTGGATTTACAGTATAGTTTTAAATTAGGTTTATACAAGGTTAATCAGTTTTAGCCGAACTTTGCAGTTAAAGTTGGGCTCTTTACTTATATTCGGAAATATACAGTATAAATTTCAGAATGGTGAAGTATCATTGGTAATACTCACTGATAGGCAGCATTTGCTGAAAGTAAAACTGGAATCCAACATTTCGAGGTGTTCTCCCACTAATGAAGTTCAGATGCAAAATATTAGTTTTTGATCTAAATGTCATGGGTACCCAGTATCCACAGTATTTGCCGATTTTCTTATGATTTGGTGGTTCACCTTCGTAGAGGTGAAGTGCATCCGTACCGCAATCCAGGTTCAGTGCGAAGTACATCTTTTTCAGTAGAAATACCTGTAAAAGTCACAGACTGCATGTTACATACCTTGATGCGTTTTCATAATGAATTTAATTAGAAATCCATGAAGTTTATGGTAAGATTGTAAGACCACCGATTTAATTCTCAGCAATAGTGCTTAAATAACTAGGATTAGATCAAAACAGATCACTATAATCAGTTTCGATGTGGGTATGCATTTGAAGTCATCTAGAATCTAAACTGAAAGAGCCGATTCTTTCTCGATTAGATCGAACAATGAATCTTTTCGTTTTTAAAGCGCGTATGAATCAATTGTATCAAAAGCATGTGTAAATTCGGAGGAATCCCTCACCTTAGGCAGATAGCCTTCGATTGCTTTGCCGTACTCAAATAAATCAAACCAATTTGTAGTGTGATTTATAATGGGCATCTGAAGCGCGAGTGCAGACTATGAGTGCTCTTTCATTTGCTGATTTAATCTTCGACTTAGCAAGCGACAGATTCCTTGTTCGACCTTTCAAAGAGGAAATCGTTCTATGGGAATATCAAGAGCGTGAAGAAGTGTCAGTGATCAGCCATCAGTTCAAAGTAGCCTATACTCGTCAGTATTTTATTCAGCGTGATGAGAGAACCCAGTTAGAAACATGTGAAGATACCCAGAAGTTACACCACCGCAACCGATTTGTATATCTGTCTGATACGAAGAAGGCAGTGCTTCAGGGGGTTTACGCCACAAACTCTGTCATCCGCGTACAGCAGTAGGAAGCTTGATTCATTGGATTCTATGATACGTTTCCAGTCTTCTGCCTTGCAATGGCAGTGCGATTTGCCAAATTGTGGTCGCAGTAATTGATGTTTTTCCACTAGCAGTAGAATCCAAGATGGCCGTCGGCTGCTGTAACTGAGCTGCTTCAGTTACCGACGAAAAGCGATCAGCGACATCACTGATTTATGGCCACATTTTGCGCGATTCCCATCGCTATCTCCTCTTTCCAGGTATTGTTGGTAAGCCCGTGTATACGACATGTACGCCATTTCAGCTGTTTCTGATATCGAACATCCTTTCTGGAAAGCGCCGGCAATTTGCCCTGATAAATCACACTTAAATAGCTGCCTTTATTGGATTATAACAATCTTTGGTATGTTTATTGAAACTCTGATGTTAATACTATTTTACGTCACTGAGGACAGTCAGCTTCTCGGAACTCACTGGTTCTCACTGTGTTTATCTGCATGGTCGCATCGGAGATGTATATAATAGTTTGATTTTTCAGTTATGTTAAGCTGAAATTAATTCAGTATGAAACAAAAATATTAACATATTGACTTTTGATAGTTATAATCGTAAAGGTTATAACTATCAAAAGGTGGAAGTATGTAAGCTTGGTGTAAAATTGTACAAGAGTCATATATATTGTGCATTCGGATTCATTTCAAAATGCAGTCTATTCGTAAGTTAATAAATACAGTATTGTGAAAACAATTTTGTAAAGAATTAAAACTGTTTACGTATTTAAAATATCAGCTTTAATATAAAAATTTTTACAAAAGAAATAATTCATGAAAAACACCAGTGGAGACAGCTGTAGTGTATACTTTCACTTGTTATTCAGAAATGATATATTCTTCTTCTTTCCCTCCTCCATCTCATTTTTATACTATAAAAGATAACTGTTTTTAAAACTTAGCCTACAGATGATAGATTTCGCAGAGAGATTTTTTACAATGCACATAATTCTGCTCTTACATAACAGGTATGTAAGAAATTATTACATTGTTTTGCCCGTGCTACTATATTAAGGGTTAGCATATCTTGTAGCATTGGAAACTGCGTGATTCTAATCCTAGCGAAAACAAAACTGGTTTTTCAGTTTTCTTGCTCTGAAACTCCTAACAGCCTTTAATAGCCAGGGGAATAAATAAAATGCGTTCTGAAAATTTCAGATTACAATTTAAATGTCAATGAAGAATTTAGCGTTAAAAATTTCATAAGAAAAAACTATATTAAAAAAACTGAATACTATAAACAATCATTAAAAGTATTTTAAAAATAATTACAATCTGATTTTCCTTCAGACTGCAGTTTAACATCTGAAGTAGCTTTATTATAAGCCGTTATAAAGAGCTTATCGATTTAAAATATATCCCAAGATACACAACATTAAAATCTTACTTTTTAAAGAAGCTACTCAAAATATCAGTTCTAGATAGTACGAAGAAGCGAAATTGCTACGACCCAGCACAATCCTAAATAATCGTTGAAGACTTTTGGGTTTGTTTAATAAATGACAGGATTGGATTTATTAGATTACGGCCAAAGCCCATAAGGATTATCTGTTTAAGAGTATAGGGATGCCTTAGTGAAAGAATTTCTAACCCTCATATGCAAGCTAAACATGAGGAAAATCACGGAAAATTCAAATCCCAGCCTGTGTTTCGGGATACAAATACGGGTCGAACTACCATTATTCAGTCTTACACACTCAGCCGCTGGTAGACATTTGTTTAGAAAGGAAAACTCAATAGTGGAAAAAAAAACTTTGCATTTTTTCTCCACTGGCTTGCTTGAGAATGAGGTTTGCAACAAATATGTCGGTTAATTGAGATAGCAGGAATTTCTGCTTTGTCAGGAGACGAAATTCGCTCAGTGTAAATACTAACACCTCCGTATGAATTGTTAAAATGATTGCTTACAAGAATAAAAAAGGAGCGCAAATGATGCTTATTTATTATCTATAAACAATCAAGTGCAAAATCGCATGAGACTGCCTGTAGAAGGATAGAGATGCCTTCGTGAAAGTTTATCTAAGCGACTGGGTTACATTCATGTTACTCAAACAGATGAGCATTTGCCAAATGTCGCTCAAGGCCACATGTCTAAAAATTTGTTATGAAATATCTTCGATGAGTATATCATAATTAGTAAGTAAAATCTCTGAAAAGATAGGTAGGAATTTTTTACAAAGCTGTGTCAAATTAAATTACAAAAATTTTCTAAAAAACTTTACCAGTAAAAACAAAATTAAGTGCTTTCCGTTTATACACTGGAATTATTTCTCTATGGGAAAGTTTGCTTGAAGAATTAGAATTTTGATGAGTACATTTAAAAGATGGTCTGCAAGTTCAATTCTGATGCCTGAATTCAAGGACTTCAATACAAGCCCATCAATGGCATAAAGATGCTGAACATTGACATTTTAGTACAGATTTAAATCCCACGAACGACTGGCTACACAGGAGTTTCCTTGGTTTCCTCATGTGTATGATGAATATAAGAGATTTTCCTTTAAAAAATCATCTACGAAGATATTTCTTTCCACAAGTAAATAGAACTCGATTGCTTAGTCATAATTCAGATAATCTGGTCCAGTACTTTTACAAAGCCACATCGCATATTTTATAGAAGTAGGAAAATCGTCAGCAACGTATATCCCATACTACAGGGCACACGACAATTAAAATCAAAATTATGAAGGATTTGCCGTGAGTCCTATAGTATGGAACATACGCTGCTATTGACACACACTAATGAAGTTCTACATTTTTACATGAGCAATGTTAAAATTAAATATTGCTCATTTGTATCAATTTATTCCAGTTCGTTAGATGTGGATTATACGGGTAGTCGCCAAGTGCATTAATCTGAATTAGATTCCAGGTGAAACAAAAATTAATTCTTAGTTATTTACATCATGTAAATAATATAGATCTAGAATTTGAAAAAAAAAAAACCGCATATGAAAAAAAGACAAATATGGCAGACTAATTGCTTTCGATATAGCAAGTCGTTGCAGAAAGATTACATAGGTGAAGAGGTGGACGAAAATTATTATTATTGAAAGCCGTCAATTTGACTTTGGAAATATATCCAGTTTTAATTAAGATCTTGCAATCACAATCTGTACAAGGCAATATACTCCAACGGGAGTAATGTTATCAATGAAGAAAAGGCAAAATTTGCCAACCAAATTGTGAAATTTTACAAAACTTTCGCGGCCAAAAAATTACGCTTAATAGTTAAACGAAAATTTTTTCTGCAAAGAATTTGAACTAACATTTCTATAAACAATCTAGATCAAGTACAAAGCAACAATGCAAATAATTTATACGTAACACGTAAAGCCTTAACAAAATATTCGAAGAAGGAAACAAAAAGCAATGGAAAATTCAAAAAAACATGTGATTTCCTTATTAAATCAGTTTTTGCGAAAACGTTTAGTGTTCCCGAAATTTCAGAAAATTTCTTAAAAATTCACCTTCGTAGAAACTTTATAAAATAATATTTTGTAAAATTACTTAGAACACTAGAAATTGTTGGAATGTCTTTACTGAAGAATGCAGTCGCATCGATATTCATAAAGCAAATAACATATGTTTAAGGGGTAAATACATTCTTGATTACAAACAATAGAACACTTTTTTTTTTGTATGATTGTTTTTCGTTGATAATGAATATGACGTAATGTTCTGGATGATATTAAAATATATTTCAGTTGTTGACATTGGTACTGGTTCTTCGTTTTCTGCGTATGATAAAAAGACCTTATTGAATATTTTTATGGGAAACAGTTGCACAAGCAAAATTATCTCCAACTTGCGTAATGATAAGCACAGTATTTACGTGCCTTCAATCATTTGATAGCGACAAATTCACATCTGTGTGAACTTAAACGATTTTTTTAAAGCTGTCATGTTTCTGCTTGATAAAAATGCAACACAAAATTTAAGTCTCTAGATAGAATTGGATAAGGATTCGTTTATTAAGCATTATTATATATAAGCAAAATGAAATTTCGACGATATTCTAGAAAAGAAACCGAGATGTTCTAAAAACTGGAAATAACTTTCTGAAAATGAAGTAGTTTAGAGCTCTGAAACAGCAAGGAACATATAAAGATAATTCAAAAGATTCAAATACCCAAAAACCTGCTGCCGGCGTTAGGGTTTTTTTTTTTTTTTTTTTTTTTTTTTTTTTTTGTATTTCTCATGAACATTACGAGTATGAACTATTCTGCATCTGAATTCTAACCAAATTGTGAAATTTTACAAAACTTTCGCGGCCAAAAAATTACACTTAATAGTTAAACGAAATTTTGAATCCTAAAGGCATCCCTTCCCTCAGATAGCCCTCGCTTGCTTAGCCGTAAGTAAGTAAATAAACAAACATTTACCCTCCAAATTTCAACTTAGTCTTAATTAAATACTCTAAGATTGCGATCAGTATTTCATGGTAAGCGCACATTAGAGGGAAAATGTAATGACACCCCAAATCAATATAAAAATGAAGAAAGAGACTACGAATTTTCATTCGAGTTCAATTATTGTTTTTTGTGTTGAAATTCATGTTATAACTTGCATAAGAAAAAGAAACTCATGCCAGTACATCTTAGAATACGATCTCTGGAGAACAGTAGCCTACTGGAACTGCAAATTATCGTACTGCGCAGTTGATATTGTCGTTGATGGAGATTTAATAAATGTTATGAGAATTTGCAAGCGATCTCTCCAGAATGGCATACCCATAGCTACGTGCGGGATCTCAGCGGCTTCCACTCACTAATGATTGAGAGGACAGACATTTTCTCCTCATAACATTTAGGGATCGTAAGGCCACGTCATTGCAAATTTGGATGTATTGCTTGCCACCAAGTATCCGAAAGTACAGTTAAATGATGTATGCAACACCAGGATTGTTAGCAAGAGGATCATTGCTTCGACACCAACTGACAGTAGGGAATCAACACTCTACAATGATCCATTCAACAACGCACATGGGAGCATCAGGGGCATGACGTCACCTTTTCTGACAAATTCTGCTTTTCCTTACATCATCCTGATGGCCATATCTATCCACCGAAAGAAACCAACGATGGAAGCTTGCATAATTCCGCTTCATATGGGCCCATAATTTGGACTAATCATATGAGATGCCATTGGGTGCACATTTCATTCACCAATAGTTCTCATGCCCGGTATTTTGACTAACTACAGTTACATTACTGAGGTTTTAATGCCCATTCTTGTTCCATAAATTTGGAAGTTACATTTCTCCAATTTTCAGCAAATTCAGTGCGAAACCACACGTTATTCCGGCTGTGCTGTATCTCCTCAACACACAAGATATTCTGTTCTTGTTTTGGTCCGTTTGTACTTCAGATCTGTCACTAAATGAAAACGTGAGTGTTTCCGAAGAGATTGGCCCAGTAATATTCACCAACCAGTATGATAAATAAAATTTTGACATTTAATTGACACCGCATGGACTGCAATACCCGTAGTTCTCACCTAAAATCTATCTGATTCAATTTGCAGCCGTTTAATAGGAATTATTATTGCCAAAAGCAAAAGCTTGGGCTGTTGAATTCTGCTTGTTCTGTACCTCAAAAATTATCCAGAATTTTACTCATTTTATCCTTGTAATGTATTTGTAAAATAAATACGATTTTTAACTTTTTTCTTTTATCGTATAATAATTTTAATATCTAGAAGTGTAATATTCAGTGAATAAGTGAATATATAGAAAAGTCAAGGGATGTCAATTCCAACGAGAATGATATTTTCATGGAGGTTTCTTTCTAAGCGAAACTGGTTCATTATTGCGTTACACAAGGCAAAAAACCTCATCTCATAAGCTCAGACCCTTGAATGGGAACAAAAGCCCCATCGAATTACCAGTGTTCACCGTTCTTAGTCATTTGGTCTAGACTAGTCTCTAGTCTAGTCTAGACAAATGACTAAGATCGGTGAACTAAGTATATGATTCTAGTCTAAGTATATGATTCTAGTCTAAGTATATGATTCAGCATCATTTGTAATTAAAAACTGGTAGCGTTTAAATGTGCCTCGTAAATGGATTGGCATAACTTCTGAATTCAGTAAATTCTTGTGATGGATGCTGAAAAGAAATACGACACTCTAAAAACCTACAGATTTAACTATTAAGAAATAAACATAATACTTTTAATTTGCTGTGGGTTTATCAGAATACAATTTTATCACAAGCGAATTTTATCACAAGTCTATATTTCGTCGTAAAATCAATAGCATAACCAACCTTTCCTTCTGGTGCTTTGAATGTCCATGAGCAGTTCTTGTTGGCGGGATAATAATTGAAGTTATCAAAGCGAGGAGACGTCAGAAACCCAAATTCTTGTGTTACGACAAGGGGTCTAGACGGTCCGCATGCGACGCTGTTGTTAACTGCTGGTATTTCTGCAAGGTAAATAGATATGTTAGCATTCAAACTGATAAACCGTGTAAAAGTTTGAGAAAGAAAGTATGAAGTAGACGGAAAATCTAAAATGATGACTCATGGCGAAGGATTGAAGGCCGCTGAAAGAATGTTCCCTTATATAGATGAGCAAGGTCTGGACGTATGATGAGGGTTGGTAGTAACTGCCTGACAATCAAATTTTATTTTTTTGATTGATTTATAAAGTATATATACCTTTTTTTCAGAAGTTGTATTTTATATCTAACTTCTATGTTTTCGAACACTCGCCGCCTCCAGGAGGAGTCTTAAATAAGTTTAAGAGTCAAGAATAGCAGGAATTGCTAGTTTGCGGGCCAATCTTGTATTCCTACTTTCGTATCATTGTAAAATTATTATATTCAATCCAAGTTATGGCTAAATTCTATATTCAAGTTCTTATTATTCGAGTTACTGATCAAGTCATTACCAGATATCTTATATACACTCATGTCTATAAATTAAGGATAATGCAAAATCAGGCAAAGGAAGAGTTAGAAGCAAAGCAAATTTGACTTATTTGTAAGGCTTATTTATTAAACAAAAGGTAAAGAGAGAAAAAAATGCTATATGTTTGATATTATTAAAAAAATTAGCGATTTTTTCTCCCTGGAGCAAATTACAAAAAAATCCTATTTACAAAAAACCAATATTACATGGTTGGTATGATTGTTAATACATTGTATGTCTCCCAGACGATGCAATACAGTCCGTACAACGTCTCAAATTATCGATCTGATCTTGGGGGATATTATACCACTCAAAAAGCAATGCACTCCGAAGTTCCGGTAGACATGTAGGAGGAGGTTGACGGGCTGCAACTAGTCAGCCAAGCCTGTCCCACACGTGCTGTACTGGATTCAAGTCCGGTGAGAATGCTGGCCAGTCCATATTGGTGATATCCTCCGATTAAGACATTCGCTTACGATGTTTGCACCGGTGAGGACGTGCGTTGTCATATATAAACACAAATTGTGCGCCCATGGTGCCCCGAAATAAACGTACATGTTGTTTCAGAATTACGTCCCAATAGATTTGGCTTGTCATGGTTCCAATTTGAACATGCAGGTCAGTTCTGGAACCCAGAATAATTCCACCCCAAACTAGCACTCCTGCACCACCGTAATGGTGTCGTTCAATGATGTTTTCTTGGTGGTAACGGGTACCTGGAGCTCTCCATATGAGTTCGGCGAGAATCAGACTGCAGACTAAACCTGGACTCGTCGGAAAACATCACACAAGCCCACTGTAGCGGTGTCCATAATGCATGCTGTCTACTCCAGGCTAACCACAGGCGACAGTGAGTTGCAGTAAGTGGAACGCATCTGACAGGTCTACGAGCATATAGACCAATCTGCCCTATGCGTCTGTACACGGTCTGCCTTGAAACAGCCGTACCAGTGGCAGAAGAGAGCTGACGAGACAGGTCTGAGGCTGTGCTCCGCCTGTTTCTTTTGGCAGTAACTGCCAAATATCGGTCCTCATTCGGCGTTGTAACTCTGGAGCGACCTGTGCTGTAACGTCTACTCACATTACCATCATCTTAGAATCGTTGCCAAAGCTTGGAGATGACACTCTGGGCAATTCCAAGTACGTCTGATACTTCCAGTTGGGTACGCCCACATTCCAGACGGCCGATAATTCTACCACGTAAAAATCATCCAAATGCGTCCTTTGTGTCATAACTATTCGGTTATTGCACTGAAATGCTTATAAAGCGCCTGCGAACAATTTTACTTCTTTGCCTGTATTCCTTACATATCACTCTCTTACACTCTCGTCATTGTGACGTACCATCGGTGTCATCTGGTTTACTTCCTGAAATTTGCATATGATTCTTGAAGATGTGTGTAGTGATTTTACAGGTGATATATTTATTTTAGAGTTCGATTTCCGAGTGACTCCGAATTATCCTTAATTTATGGACATGAGTGTATATATATATATTAACTTATCAATCTATATTCAGTTTGGAAATGAAGTGCTTGGGGTAGAGTTATTCACATTAGAGGTTGGTTAATTTAGAAGACAAAACACTCGAGCGCTATATGCATAAAAAAGGAGCTTCCTTTCGTGGCGGACTTTTTAAGGTGGTAGTGATCCTCCCTTTTATCTACTCGTTAAGTGTGGAGGAACCTAGCGAATTACTAAGCGAATAATCGCTTAAGTCCAGAAACAGAAGCGTAAAAATCAAGAAAGGTTAATTACCTTTTATTGCTCAAACTAAATGTGTACAGACGGTCCCTTTCTCAGAACGTTCAACAAAACGTACTTAAAAATATAAGAAATAAGTCTTAATTAATGATTAACTAAAGAGATTTAGCCGAAGCTAACACAATTTCTAACTAGTTGGCCCCTAATATGAAATTAGCTAGCGAAGCTATCAAGGGCACGTAATACGGCCGAGCGCATTAGCAGCTTAGAGAGACGTAGCCAAAAGACAAACGCGCGTAATTCAGGAAATTGAATTCTCTCTCCCGAAGTCAGTGGAACTTAAATACTATTCCTTCCCATTTGCATTTAACGCGATTTTAAAAACTCATTCTGATAAGGAATTGTAAGCTGAAATTAGGAGAGATAGGAAAGGAGCATTAACTTAAAAATAACTGTTATAAACATAAGATAAACCTTACAATGTATTCACTGGCTGATATTCAAGTAATGCATGGAAAAAACCATGAAACACTCATGCAGTCAGTCTGCTTGCCAGGAAACAAACCTCTTTAGAAATACCAGATTTCACAAATGTATTTTTGCGCTTTTGGGCTTTTAAAAAGCTTGTTGGCCAAACGTCGACCTACAACCTCCTTAGACTTTGGAAAGCTGTTTGAGAGCAATGGGGTAAAGTATCTCTTCCGATATTACAAAAGGCTTTATTGTCTTGGAAATGAAAGTGTATAAAGTTAGTGAAGGATAAGGGTTGTCAAGTAGAACATTTTAAAGATAAAACCTTTATGTAAAATATTTCTGTAATTACAATTAAAATCGTCTAAAAAATGTGCGAACAGCCTCTGTAGAATTCCATGAGGATGTCTGTGGGATGACTAAAGACCTTTTGAGGACATACCTGGAATATGAAAAGTAGAGCACCTGGAATAGGAAAAGTAGAGCACCTGGAATAGGAAAAGTAGAGCACCTGGAATAGGAAAAGTAGAGCACCTGGAATAGGAAAAGTAGAGCACCTGGAATAGGAAAAGTAGAGCCTCTGGAATAGGAAAAATTAAATCCAAATGATATTTACTTTTCGTGAACGCCAAGTGAAAATATCTTAAGGGTATTCCTAAGTGTGACATATTGCTCTCGGGAGAATAATTAAGACTCACTCACTGATTAGTACTGCATTCTTATAAGTTTTTATTTTTTTAATTACAAGTTCATATTTTCTTCAGAATCTGGTCTAAGAAAGTATGTCAAAGAATCTTTCAGGGAAATTTAATAAAATTAGGATGTTAAAGTATAAGATATTTTCTCACTCCTTCTAGAATGCCTTCGTGATGTAACGGTAGCACACTTAGCCTCTATCCGAGAGGTCCATGTTCGAATCCCAACGAGGGCAGTGTTCATTTTTCATGTTTCCTACTTCAAAACAACCTAATGGCTCTACAAAAGAACGCATCTAAGCTTTGAAGGAAAAAATTACAGTACTTCCTTTTCTTTATTTTTATAAATCAGATAAATATATTTAGCAGCTATAAGAAAACAACTAGCAATAAAGATAGTAGAAAGTAGTATCAAGTAGTAGAAAAGATATACTACGCTTATCTGAACTCTGGGATATATAACAGGGGTCAAAATAACCCACGCATCTATTAATTCATCAAAATCTTAAATTTTTCTTTATATTAGGTTAAATTTATTCAAATTTTTATACTGTTTATTAAATAATTGTACATGCTTGTCTAAAGAAAAATTTGCTTTTAATAAATTCACGAACATCTTCGTACATTGTGGGGCATAAAGTAGAGCACAAATCAAATAATCTTCCAAAATACAAATCAAAAACACTCTTATCATTTTATAAGGTATTTCTCCCGCCCTCTTAGCATGCCTCCGTGGTGTAGTGGTCAGCACGCTCGATATGTATTCGAGAGGATCGTAGTTGAAGCCCCGGCCACGGCATTGCTAATTTTTCACATTTCCTGCTTTCAAAAAGTACCTAATGTCTCTACAATTTATTAAATATTTATTAAAATATTTTAGCTATTGTTTACTATTTAATTAACTTTAGATTAGTTTATTTAATCACGGCAAGGCGCACACTTTCTACTAGGACTATCTGGTTAAGGGCAAAGATGATTTTCTGGAAGACCTTTCTAAGGTTAAACTGTCTCGTATTCAAGTTACACACAAAGAAAACCGTGAAAACCCCCATACAGCCAACCCAGTAACCGAAATTAATTTAATATTGTTGCAAATAACTATTTTGTATAATGTCATTGTAATAATTCTGTCATAATAGCCAAACTCGTTATGCTGTTGTTACTTGTCTCAGTTGTCTGACAGTACCATTAGATCAATTACACGAATTCACAGCGGAAAGCCAATATGTGCTTGTCATTAGACAAGGCCTTGAACATCTAATAGTGACAGTGCGAATTTGTCCAATTCCCCCTCTTCCCTTTACAAACATTCATGCTTTCTCCGGGATTTGAACCCGGGATGAAAACTATGGCAATTAGCTCCATTAACCATCATACCAACAAGGTAACAAGCAGTATATTTTTTTTAATTTATTTATTGGTTCCATTGGGGGGCTCTAGCCATTTATAGGCAATGGCCACTTACTAAGGTCGGAACGGGAGGTGTCTTTATTATGCAGGCACCTAATAGGTGGGCCACCGTTGCCTTCTATAAAGAGACCGACAAATTGCCTTCGTGCATCCTCCGAGATTCGAACACGGACTCTTCGGTACGGCAGTCAGAATCACTAGCCCCTTTCCCGTCTGGGCGGCGAATTTTATTTTAATTACTCTCATATATCGCTTTACACGTTACAGTCATGCTAACTACTAGTGTAACTTGTGAAGTTTTTTAATTATGTTCCATAAAATTAAATTGGTAAACACAATTACATTATTAAAAAACTCACCTTTTGCTGCAATAAGCTGAGCTGTACATAAGACTAATATAACAACAACACAGTACTTTGTAAGCATGGCGGCGCCACTTCTACGTGAGATGAAAGACACTGGTTGTATGCTTCTCGGGAGAATAAAAGTGTCTTTAAACAACCCCCCTATTTATCTGTTAGATTGTTCGTGCTCGACTAAATATCTTCATTTCGCCTTTGTTATTAGGTTGTTTATTATCTCTTAGAAACGCCTGCATTTCATCTCAGGCATCGAGATTGTGGGCATTATTCACAAGAATTTTTAAATCAGCAAACGTCACTGTGATTGCGAAGGATTATTCTTTGCTTTCACTTTTTCGCCATAACAAATATCTTTCTGCGTTTTGATATTTTTGCAGGACGACATTTCATGAGTACGATCTGTGCACAAAAGTTATACCGCCGTTTCCTTTTTCGCAACTATTGGTCGTAGACATACACTTCTAGTTACAAAAACGTTTTAAATGACGCAGAGATTCAGATTTTAGTAATTTTTAATTTAAAAAATAATCATGTTTGTAAAAATCTGGAAATTTAACATTTTATACCGTTTTTTAGTCCGTATTATTTGGTATTAATTACATTTACGAAAAGTTATTTCATTATAAAAAAATGAAACACGAAAAATTTTACTTCCATGCCACAAAAAATGATAGAGTTTATTTAGTTTTTAAAAATTTGCAATTTTCGATTTCATTTTTAACTTGCCTTCAGAAGTTCTTTAATAAATAAATAAGTTAGATTCATTCCAGGTTTATTTTTTAATGTCATGCACTGTTATTCCAGTGGGATTTACTAGTGTGCAACATCCTTTGACTTATATTTTCTTTTTTACAATTATTATGCCGAAAGAATTTTCACACAAGTAATTTATATGCTTTTAAAGACTAAAAATACGTTATTAATATTCTCGTGTAATTTAATTACTTTAGCATCACAATGTAATAATCGTATAAAAATTCATTAAACTAGACATATTTTTAATTTTTGATTCATGCAAAACAATGTTACGAGTTGACTCTGTGTTAGTAGCTGAAGCATGCCAGTGTATTATAGAATGTAAATTTCATAAGATTTTATGAATAAGATCTTTTTTTTTTTTTTTTTTGAAACAAATACATAGATTAAAATTTTTTTTCACTTCACTCTGCATAACAATTCTCGTCACTTAATCGATTAACATCAGAAACTTTTTTCCTAAGCCGATTATTTTACTTTTAGTTACGCACAAATGCGAGATATTAGATTTTCAATTCATGTATGGTCCTACATATGATCTCATAATTTAAAATTAAATATCTTTATCAGTTTTTATCTTAGGCTACTCAAAACATTCCTTTACTTTTTATTATACGTGTAAACTTTCTTAAATATAACTATAGGAACCGAGGAACGTATAAAAAATTAAATTTCATAAATTTTATAAAATAACTTTTTAAGTTTAAAATACTAAAACTTTAACATTTGAGTCATTTAAAACATTTTTGTATCTGATATTATATGTCTATAATTAATTCTTGAGAAATTAAAAGTCGCATGAAAACTTTTATGAACACAATGACATAATCTGCAGCATGAACCACAACAATAGTAGTAAAAACACTGTGTGATTCTGTGCCAAGTTAAGTAATAAAACAGTTTTGCAATAATTAAAATAATAGAGCTGAAACTGGGTCTCATTTCCAAAACATCAAACAAGGCACTTGCACGAAGCATTTACTTTCAAAGGCCTTTCCAAACCCATCAAGAAAAAAAGCCTCTTCGACATATCCTGAAGATGTTGCACATAGCGCATCATCCGAGCGCTTTGCGTCACATCCAAGCACATTTTCAGGACATCTTTGCTAGGTTCCATCTTCTATGGAATGTTTTCAGAATTTAAAGTCCTCCTTATGATATTCTCAGAATATCCCTTTAACTTTGTAATCACATTCTCTCGATCCCTCCCACATCCACTTTAATGTTTACTAGTGTAATTTATTATAGAGCAGTAAATTATCAGAAATACGTTTATTGCTCTTATATGATATGGTTTATGCAATTATAGACATTAAATTTTTAAAATAAGTTTAAAATCGTGTACATTGTGGAGCGACAACACTCTAAGAATTTGATATTCTGCGAAGTTCTTCGGGTAATAAAACTTTGCAGAGTCACGTAGAGAATAAATATTAAGCAAAAGTATTAGAGAAATATTTTTGAAAAATTTTCGCTAAGAACATTTCTGATACCAAAATCTTGTCTCTTACTAAAGTAATTATATACTCCTGGCACTGCAAAACAAAGTAAAATAGATAAGCTATCCCAAAAATTATCACCCAGAATCTTTTCTGAAACAAGAAGTGCAATTCTATATTGGAGACAAATACATATAAAGATCGACCGATCTTCTATTTATTTTCCTTTTTCCATTTTAAGTGTGTACTTTCATCAGCTACATATTTAGCAATTTTGAAAAACTGCTGTATGAAAACTTCAGACTACATTTTAATACCTCGAAGACCCTATCATTAAAGTTTGAAAGAGCATTAAAAAAGCATTAAAAATATAAAAGTTACAAGATCAATAAGAAATTGCATATTTTTAGTCATAAGAATAAAAAAGAAGCGAAGATTTCAGTTTATTCAGTTAGCGAAGAAGTTTGACGTTAAATACTAATTATGATAAAGGCCTATTGGTACTCCCGAAAGTTAAAGACATAGAATATACAATATTTTGCTTAAAACGGAGCTGTTCAAAATGGAAAATGTAAATGCTAGGATTACCAGGTTATTACTTCATCGTGAATTAACGCCAGGAAGATGAGTTATTTAGTGCAGAAAAGACGCACTATTCAAAACGTAGCTGTGTATTCAGAAGTTTCCTCGAGCAAAAAGCTTTCAAAAGATATTCTGAAGTGACAGAAATCTTTCTGTTTTGTCAGGACACAAAATCCACTAACTTAAAATAATAAATACTTCGATGATATTTTTCCTCGAGATATTTTAATAAATGCATAGCAATATCAATTAAAAAATATCAGTACACAAAATCCACTAACTTAAAACAATAAATACTTCGATGATATTTTAATAAATGCATAACAATACCAATTAAAAAAATATCATTATGTAAAATATATAAACACAAATATTTACTGAATGAGAACATTAATTATTTTCCTCTGTTGGTAGATAAGATAGGAGTTCTTTATTCATTTCGTAATTGGATTATGACGGAATGCACTTAATGGTGCAATATTTTATTTTTCAAATATCTTCTCTAATAATGTATGTTGTCACCTTTCTGCAAAAGTCTCGAATTTGCAAATCGGCCAAAACTTGCTTAAATATCTGACGTTATTTTATTATGAGGGAAAACATGTTTACTTTTCTAAATAATAATTCTCGCGAATTCATTTCAAGAATATGCTGCTCTTCCTCTTAAATTTTTTTAAGCTCTGAAATTATTAAATAGTTACTTTAGAGTGTAATTTGACTCTGAAAGATGAAGTAATAAACGGATTAAGACACAAAAGCACGTCGAATAAATACTAATTCAGAAGTCAAACAACAAAAATCAGCGTTATATTTACAAAATTTTCACAGGACTAGTTTCGATGGTTTTACCGAACCACCATCTTCAGCTGCAAAACCGCAAATGAACCAGATAGGAAATAATGATTAGATAAGAAAAGAAAGCCTGGACAAGAATAAGCAAGTGGCGCCATCTGTTGGTGAAACCAGAACTAAAACATAATTTCTTTAAAGGCCGAAGGCAAATTTGGATTGGAATTAGGATCGTTAACTAGAACAGAAAGATTTTTATGAATGTGAAATGCCTCTAGAAAATCCAGTTCTCCAATGGAAGATGTTTTTTGAATAATTTTTGGCAGCAGAAAAACTGAAAGGGGTTTTCGGACCAACAATGTTGAGCAACAGAAGACTTCTGTGTTTCCTTTTTTCTAACATGTGCCTCATGTTCTTTGACGCGAAATTTTAAAAAGGCTCTCCTAGTTTGGCCAATGTAAATTAAACCACACTGGCAAGGAATCCTATAAATACCCCAGGAATTCATATCCGGAATGGGTCCTTGAGTATGGAACTCGGAATTTTATTGATGGGAGAATAAACAACCCGAAAGTTAATTTCTGCAAATATGTGCAACTTTATAGCTAATTGATGGAAAGAAGGGAATGACAGCAGAATTTTTATAATCTCCTAAAACAAGAGTGTGCCTTTTAGTGTGTTGAGATGAGAATTTTTTAACTGCTTGCTTAATAATGTTAGGTGGAAAGCCCCTGTCAACAGCTATTGCTTTTAAATAATTTAGTTCTTCATCAAGGGCTAGTTTGGAGGAGCAAACTTGAAGAGCACGGAAAACATAGGAATAAAATGAAGCTAACATTTCTTTAGTCGGATGACATGATTTAAAGTGTGGTGGAAGGCAAACCGATGAAGGTTTACGGTAAACCGTAGTACTGAAGTTGGATGTGTTACGTGTGACCAGAATGTCGAGAAACGGAAGAGAATTGCAAGTCTCAAGTTCAAAAGTGAACTGAATAGCAGGATCAATAGAATTCATTGTTGAAAGAACTTTATTTAAATCATCTTTATTACCTTCAAACAGAGTAAAAGTATCGTCTACGTAGCGGAACCATGCCGGGAAGTTTAAAGTTTCAAACAATTTTGATTCACAATAATGCATGTAGATATCAGCCAGGATGGGACTGAGGGGGCTTCCCATGGCTAATCCCTCAGTTTGCTTGTAATATTTATTTTGGAAAACAAAATGTGTTTGTTTCAAACAGAGTTGAGTGAGAGAAATTAGCTCATCAATTTCGATGCAAGAGAAATGAAATTCGCGAAGTCTGGTTTCTAGACATCTTAATGCACCCACCCTCCACTGGGACATTGGTGAATAATGATTTTACATCAAAAGAAACCATGAGTAAATTACTAGGAGAAATGTTTTTAACTTTTTTTACAAACTCTATTGAATTTTTTATGGTGTAAATAATATTGTCTAATAGAGTTGAAAATCTAGAAACTAAATATTTAGCTAATGGATACGAGGCAGTACCTAAATTTGATACAATAGGGCGGAAAGGAATACCACTTTTATGAATTTTGGGAAGAGCATATAATCTGGCACAATT